AATAATTTTGGAAAATAGGTTTAGTTGGATCATATTTTCTATAAATATTTCATATCGATATCTTTAATAGCAAAAAAAATATGGACCGATCACAGAGCACTGGGTCACCCTGTATATAGGGTGATCCATAGAAAAAAAAGAAACTTTTTGTTTTTCCCTGTATATTGATCAATTTTTTAATTTTTTTTATACGTAGGAAAAAAGTATTTTTTTTAGTACCTACATAACCACACTTTTAAATTTTTTGGAACACTTAAAATAAAAAAGTTAAAGGGGGGCGACATTATAGGGGATCACCCTGTACATTTTTAAAGATAATAAATAGGGTGTTTCGAAATTAAAAGACAAATTTTCCTTTCAGATTTTTTGAACTCGCAAAATTTCAGAAGTTATTTAATAAGGTTCTCCCAAAATTTTGAGCCTCGTAAAATTGGCAAGACCAATTTTCCTTTACCATTTTTTAGAATCCCAAATTAAAGAAGTTATTCAGCAAAATTTCATACAAAATTGAATTATTTTTTTAATAGAAAAAACATGAATTATGTGACATCCAAATAAAATTTTGTAATTTTTCAATAATTATAAAAAGTGTTAAAATATAACAAAAAAAACTCAAATATTTCATTATTTTATAATACCTATGCACCCAACTGTTAAAAATTTCAACGTTATATCTACAATTTATTAGAAAATATTTTCTTATGCAATTATTATGAGTTAAAATTAAAAAACAGTTAAACCGAATATTTTTTTAACATTTCAATAAACAAATAAAATAATTTTAGTAGTAATTTTATTACACAAGGTGTCCCAAAAGTAGCTTACTGGTTTTTAATTATTTGTAGTATTTATATTTAATTTCGTTAAATTTATTTATTTGTAGGTTAAAAAAATAATTAGTTATAAAAATGCTTGTTTATTTTAAATAACAATTTTAAATAAAAATTATTTTATTATTTTTTCTTTTTATTTTGGTTTCTGCCCATGGGCACATTAAAATCTACGTATCCTTCCCATCGCATTTTTTTATTTTCATATTAGTCTATGAAAAAAATGTCATCCCCACTAAAAATATATGTATATATTATTTATTTATTTTTTAGTGAGGTTTGACATTTTTTTTATAGACTAATGTGAAAATAAATATATATATACATAAACGTATATATTAGGGTGGCCCAAAAAAAATATTTTTTTTCTCATCTCCTGTGAATATATGTTAGTTTATCATATTCTAAGAGCCATGTCAAAATATCAGCTAAATTAAAAAATGTCGCTAAGATTTTTAAAAATTTTCAAAATCGTCAAAAATTTAATTTTCGTTTTATTTTTTTTTCTCGTCCCGATATTATTTTATAGGTTGAAAATAATAAAATTTCTGTAAATTTCAAATCAATATTGTGATTTCTAAAGGTTTCCAAAAGTTCGTGAATATTTATACTCAGAGGTCGCTCGAAAACATTCAAAATACTCTACTTTGAAAGTTTAAAAAATCTTGAGCGACCTTTAGAAATCAAAATATCGATTTGAAATTTTCAGAATCTTTATTATTTTCAAATTAAAAAATAATATCGGAACGAGAAAAAAAATTAAAATAAAAAAAAATTCAATTTTTGACGATTTTTGACAATTTTTAAAAATCTTGAGCGACCCCTGAAAATTAAAAATTCTATAACTCAACACTACATATTTTTGTTGAAAATTAAGTTATCTACAAAAAGTTTTATTTAATTTGTTTGAAGTGTAAACATTTCAACGATAAACTCTCGCGCATGCTAAGTTTTCTTTAAAATAAAGTATATCCCGTATGGTCTAATGCATTAGACCATGGTTATAAAATCAGGCTCCGTGACAGGGTTTTTTAAGATTATCTATTGAATAATTATTAATAAGTTTGTCAAATAAATGTTTTCAGAGATTACCCAGTAGGCTCAGGTTCGATTCCCAGTACCGGAATACTTTTTTTTAAATGAATATAATAAATACAATTTTGGAAAAAAAGTGAAAATAGGTAAAAGTTTTGTTTTGATTTTTTTCCTTATATTTAAAAAAAAAGAAGAAAAACAAAAAACTTTCAAATACATCTCTTGGGTTATATTCACGAAATTAAAAAAAAAATATTTGCAAATTTTCATAAATGTTTTAATTTTTTTAATTTAATTCAGACCTAATGTATATATAATTTATTTGGTTTGATTTCCTAAATCAGGTAACCCTAGCATGATGGAGAAATAACAAATAACAATCCTGTTCACTTATCGTTTCATAAAAATGAGATATTTGTGGTTATAGGAAATAATTTCTTTGAACCTAATTGTGTAACTGGGTATACCAATATCTCAAACTTTGTTGCATACCCCCTTGTTGCATCAGCGTCTTCAAATATTATGTTTATACCACCAAAAACCAAAAACAAACCTTGTTTACATCTTCTGAATTAAAACATAAATTATTCACATTATAAAAAATTTAAGGCCATTAATTAATGTACAATTGTACGTACAACAAAAGTAATAAACTTAATGTATCTTAAACACAACAATTAAACTCCTTTTAATCTGATTACCTAAAGCTCAAAGCCTACACAAGTGTTTTTAAATGGATTGTTACGATTATCGCAAGATGAAACTTATATGCGAGTTTGCTGCACCCAGAAAGTAACCTTTGTGCGGAATATTAAATTTAATTACGTCCTTAAAACTTGCCTCCAGCTCGTAATGTAATTACAGATACATTTTTTTTCGCTGTGTTTATAAGATTGTGTTTACTTTTGAACAGTTCCGTTTTATTTTAGAATATGTAATTTAATTCCTTCCTAATTTGAATAATTAAATAATAAGTATGTTCTTTGTCAATACAATATTTTTATTAAGTTTAATAAGGACCATCAAAAAATATTTCGTTTTATGATTTTATGTCAATAAATAAAGTTTTAATAAAATTCATTTGCATGTCTAAAACCCGTTTTTGGACAATATATTGTAAACAAGAGCTAATTAATTAAACAAAATTTTAGGAATTAAAATTTTTTAGTGCAAAAATATTAGTTTCCTATTTTCAACAAATGTTTCCATGTAAGCATGAAATACTTTTATACTTTTTACACCTTATAAAAAGCTGACGCCAGCTACAAAAAATTTATTAATTCAGCATTTGCCTAATATACAGGGTTTTTACGAAAAAATGTTTAAAATAAAAATTAAATGATTCGATGGGGGAAATCAATCAGTACTAAAATTGGTCCTCATACTCCCCTCCTTACAGGGGAAACAGGGGGTAACTTTAAAATTTCCAACGAAACACCCTATTTTTTTATTCATTCGACTAAAAATAGGTAGATTCTTCTGTAAACGATTGTCCTATAATTTTTAAATTTATTTATTTTTTAAATTTTTATTATGTAGGTGCTCAAAATGGTGGCCTTCGACTTCAATGCATTTATTACTTCGCATTTGGTTTTAATATTCTGCTAACACTGCTCTGGGATATTCCCAAATCTCTAGATAATACTCGTGTGCTTGCATGAGGATTAGCGGCCGTTGCTGCTAATTCATGAATTTCATTATTTCCACCTGTGGCTGTTGCTCGACGAACTCTTTTTTTCGGTTGAACACTCCCGTTTGTAGTAAACTGCTTTACTGTACGGTGAAATGAAGTACGTGATCGAAAATTATCCGGAAAACGCTGAGCGTAGATATTAACAGCATCATCAAGATTCCTGCCCGCTTCTCCATAAATCAAAATCATTTCTATTTTTTCTTCCACTGTTAAAAATTCATTATGAATAACTGCTTAACGAAAGGAGGTCTTTTTGTTTGAATATTAATCTTCGAACTAAATTGATTAAATAATGCTAAACTATAAATAGTTTCTTTATACCTCAATAATAATTATTATTTATAACTAAATACCATTTCTGTATACCTCAATTAGGATTAAATTAATTATTTGACAAATTAATGTTTTTTTACCTTAAATGAGGTACTTTTATTAAAAATAGTCCAATAATCCTTTAAATTTAATGCTGGCATGTAAAAAGTGACCATGGTGCGCAATTGATAATTATCACCGAATGAAATAATGTATAAAACTTAAACCAAAGGAAACTTAAATATTAGTTAAAAAATCGTGGGTACTTAAAAAAATCAGATTTAATTTAATAAGATAATTATTACCAAAAATGTGATATTTTTATAGAAAAATTATTGCAGAATCGTATACAGAAGAAAAATCGAATCTGCAATAAAAAATAGGGTGTTCCATTGGAAATTTTAAAGTTATCCCCTGTTCCCCCTATAAGGAGGGGAGTATGAGGACCAATTTTAGTACTGATTGATTTCCCCCTCGAATCATTTAATTTTTATTTTAAACATTTTTTCGTAAAATGCATACTAACTGAGATATATCAAAGTTTTAAGTTAAATGGCTCACCCTGTATATAACAAATAAAACAAACTTGAACTAGATTGGCATTGAAATGAGTTTTTTAACTTGCTTAAAGTAATTGTTTTGCCTATGTGACACAATATTATTATGCCATAAAATTCTTGTAAATTTGTTAAAACGGTGTACCCAATAAAGTCATTATTTAATTTTGTTGTCAAAATATAAAGAATACTAGAACAAATTTTGCAATTTTATGTTTACGATTAGATTTAATTTTCTGCTAAAATATGTTTTAATTTTAACGATTTGCTAAAAGTATTGTAATGCAAGGAAATAGTTATAAATAAATTAATAGGTTAATTATAAAAATTATGTGCTAAATTTAATATTTAATTAAAATATGAGGTTGCAAAATATTGAATTACGATAATTTTTTTTTAAATTAGGAATGTTTAATAGCGTGAAGTTTGTATTCTATTTTTGTTTTTAGATGGATTTGTACATACAATTGTTTGTTTTGATGTTATTATACAACTTTCCAAGTATGTAATTTAATATTTCGTTCAAGGGAGATTTTTATAGATAAAAGTAGGAGGCATAAAACATATATAACATTTGATATGCGTAACACAATTTTTATCGAATAATATAAAAATTTTATAAATTGCTATTTTAGTAATATAAGTATATCACAGGAAATATTCGCAATTTTAGGAATGTCTTTGTTGTTTGGCAGGCCATTTAAATAAATTTCATAAGTTCATGGTTACCCAGGGTGTGGTTATCATATAAATAGTGAACAAATTTGGCAAATTAGTACTGTGAACTTGAACAGCAAAATAACAACATGTTCGTAAAACTGGTAAGTAATTAAACAGCAAGAAGTCTTCGCCCTAACAAAGTGGATTAACCTAGGTGCCATTGAGATTAAGTGAAAAGTGAACGTAAATATCGGAAATAAATTTTTTGCAGGCCGTCCTTGCATGCTCTTTGGCTGTAGCCATCGCTGCTTACAATGGACCTCAAGCAGGGGGACAACCTGCCGCCCAATTCCCAGCAGGAATCGACCCAGCCTCCTGCCCAAACTTCCCGGTATGTGACAACCCCCTTGTAGCCATCAGCCAAGGCCCACACGCTCGTGCCTACCAGCAAGCTCAACCCCAATACCAACAGCAACCCCAACAATACCAAGCCCCTCAACAATACCAACAACAACCTGCCCAACAATACCAACAACAACCCGCAGCCCCACAATACCAACAATTCGCTCCAGCTCAACAATATCAAGCTAGACAACCCCAACCTCAACCTCAACAATCCCTCCCCATCTCCCAATACAACCCCGTGTTGGCGTCTCAATACCAACCCGCCCAATCTCAGCAGTACACCCCTGAAGTCCAGAACGCTTTGGACCAAGGCAAGTACATTGGTGATGGTGATTACCACGGTGAGGGTCTCGCTGAAGCTCTAGCCCCAGGCTACCAAAGACAAGCCGCCGCTCCGCAATACCAACCTCAATACCAAAGACAAGCCGCTGCCCCTCAATACCAACAACCAGCTCAGCAGTACGCTCAACAACCTCAATATCCAGTCGCCCGCGCTTACAGTCCAGCTCCAGCTCCAGCAGGCCATGCTCAGCCAGCGCAGATCCCAGCCGGAGTTGATCCCAACGCTTGTCCAAACTACCCCTACTGTCACTAGATGTTCCTACGTTAGCAACGATTTGCTAGACTGCCAGCTGACGACATGTCAATTTTGTTATTTTTATCGTTTTTTGTAGATGATGGTATTGCTGTAATATATTTTTAGTTTTGTAATTTTGTACAAAATAAATTAAAAAATATTTATTTCGTTTTTTGAATTGAAACAAAAATGTGTTAAAAATACCCACATAAATTTATAGTATATTATGTATCCAGTTTTAAAAACGCCATTTTAGTTACGAGTGTTGCATACTATACTTTATCTACAACGAACAGAAATAAGAATATAAAGCCAATTGAAATTCATAAATATTTGACATAATATGTAACCTCACTTTTTCGCAATTTATGAGCTAACTTCAGTCCGTGACTAAAATGGTCAAAAGCCACTGTTATTAACTTCAGCCCGTGACTAAAACGTCATTAAGTCACAGCACTTCAATGTAGGAGTAGGTAAAGAAAATTAACGAAAATGTTTAATTGCATAAGTCTATAAAAACGGCATTTAAAAATTAAGATTAAAATTAGCGTTTTTCAAATAGATTAAATAAAAATGAAAACCTGACATTTATTTAGATATCTCCGATTTGACTCAAATTTTTGCATACAGTACTAAAATATGCCTCTTTTAACATGTGCCTATTAAAATTTAATATAAAAATATTTAAGGGGATAATTTTTTATTTGTTTTGTTTACCTCTGTTCGCAGAGCCGTAAATGTAGTTATTATGCCCATCTTCTTATGCCAACTTATAAAAAAAAAAGTTTTAAATGGAATGACCTATAAATTTGGCAAAATTTTAATTAGCAATGTAATCAACATATTTACCAAATTTTAGGTTTCTAACTGATTCTAAACTTATTTAATCCCCAACAAATAAATAATTATTAAAAAGGTATGGGGACGAAAAATAAAGCAACAGAAAACATGCAGTAGGTTAAATATAAATAATAATAATAATAATATATTTATTTGCCCAACAGAATACAAAATTCCAATTACAAGACAAAATAATAAGAAAAATAAATATTTATATAACTTATAAACATAACAACAATGCAATACAATGAAACTAAAAACTAATTGTTAATATTATTTAGGTGTAGATAACATATATTAATTAATGAGTCTAAAGTTATAAAATTAATAGCACAGTCAGGTAGACTATTGAAATTGCGAGTCATTAGTTGAATGAGACAACTATAAATGGTAAAAGGATTGTCTAATTACTAAAAAAAAATAATTCATAATAATAAGCTAATAAACCTATAGGTTTGATTTATTTGGTCACTTTCATAATTTCGTTTTTAATTAATAACAATAATAATATTAGCTTATTATTATGAATTATTTTTTTTTAGTAATTAGACAATCCTTTTACCATTTATAGTTGTCTCATTCAACTAATGACTCGCAATTTCAATAGTCTATATTATAATATCCCTAGATAATCACGTGTTCGTAATCCAGTGTTTCCGGATCTTTTAGACGAAAATGACAGATTGATAATTTTGTTTGGACACAGTCAACATTATAGTTTATTATTGTAAAACTGTGTGTTGAAGGTTGATAAAAATGTGCATACGAGAAAAATAATTCATTCATTCAATGTCACGTTAGAAGATATGCATTAATTAAAGACACGGGTTGTATAGGAGATAACGCATATCTTATAACATGGCAATAGGAAATTAATGTTTTTTGTCGCATACATGCACTTATACCTATAGAATTGGCATATAAATTTTTGTCAACATTTACAACACAGTTTAGCAATAATAAACGATAACATCCCGTGTAGTCTTAGCAACTTGAATATTTTTTACTCGAAAACCAGATTGTCAATCTAAACCTTTGTAAATATCTTTTAAGTAGACTCTTTTAAAACCTTCTTAATAGGCTTGTATCTACGCAACTTTTCTCTTCAAATAAAAAATTGCCCAAAAAAGTTTTGACATATAAGGATACGTACACACCACGTATTATATTGCAAAAAAAACTATTAAATTTTTGCCAAAAAAGCAAAATAGAATGAATTTTTAGCCTTAGGTCTTGCAATTCTATAGAATTACAGTATATGGAGTCATAAATTATCTCACAATAATGGTAACTTTTAGGAATAGTAGTAAAAAGGTAGATATTTTATAAAACTATGATTAATACTAAAATTAATTAACAATTAAAATATTTAAAAACGTTAAATAAACAAATATTTCAGTTTCGGGTTTGTCGTCTTTCTTATATTGGAGTCTCCAAAAAATAATAATATATTAAAATAGACATTTTTGTTAAAATAAAAATCGAAAAATATAATCACTGTAGTTTACAAACCTCTAATTAAAAAACTACTTTAGTTTTATAAATTTACAAATTAAAATGTATAAAATACATACTAACACCTCTTCCACAGGTTGAATCGCTACTGAACGCAAAATCTAACATTCATTAATTTTTTTCTCATAATAGCCAATTTTGGAAAAACTAGTTTAAATTAATTAATAAAACATTTTGGGCGTACCTTCAGGCCACAACCTCTTGGAAATACACTTCATTGCCAAGAAAATAAAGGGTGGTCAACTATAAAAAATATATTCGTTTAGATTGTAAGGTTTTTTTTGTCGGCTGCTTAAATAATTTCATGGTTACACGGAGGAGTGGTCAATATATAAATACACAATAAATTTCGGTACACAGGCACTGTACTCTTAAACAGCTAAATAACAACATGTTCGTAAAACTGGTAAGCATTTTTACAAAATTGCGAATATAAAGGGAAATACATCTAAAGGAGCTAAACCGCAACGACATTGGATTAAGTGTGGCCATAGTGAATGTATTTCTTCGTATTGTATCGGACTTTTTCACGGTTGAGTGTGCTTTGTGTGAACGTGTATTACAACATCATCGACGAAATTTAGATAATCTTTATCAATAATAATTGCTTTTGTTTTAGACCGTCTTTGCATGCTCTTTGGCTTTAGCCATTGCTGCTTACAATGGACCATTGGCAGGTGGACTTCCTGCCGCTAAATACCCAGCAGGAATCGACCCTGCATCTTGCCCGGACTTTCCAAACTGCAACAACCCTCTTGTAGCTATTAGCAACGATCCAGCTGCTGTGCGTCAATTCCAACCAGCTCAACAGCCCCAACATCAACAGTACCAACCTCAACAGTACCAACCTCAACAGTACCAGCAACCAAGACAATACCAACAACCCCAGCAGCAGTACCAAGGTTCCATCTCCCAATACAACCCCGTATTGGCTTCCCAATACCAACAGCAACCAGCTCAAGGCCAGTATAGCTCAGACGTACAGAACGCTCTGAACGAAGGCAAATACATTGGTGATGGTGACTACCACGGTGAGGGTCTGGCCGAGGCTTTAGCTCCAGGACACGTGCAACAGGCTGCTCCTCAATACCAACCGGCTCCACAATACAACCAATACAACTCAGCTCCTCAGTACCAACAGTACAACCAGGCTCCAGCAGTCCCAGCCGGCCATGCCCAGCCAGCTCAGATCCCAGCCGGAGTTGATCCCAACTCTTGCCCAAACTACCCGTATTGTCATTAGATGGCTTGTTGGGTGTTTCTGAAGATAAATTGTGAGACTGTCAGCTGACAACATGTTATTTATTGTAAATGAGTTATCTAAGGTGTAAATGATAATTACCCTGTATCTGTTATGTATTTAGTTTTGTAATATTGCGCAAAATTTAATATATAAAAACCAAGTAAAAAAGTCTTTTAATAAAACTTTCAGATTTGTTTACAGAACGGATTCCAAAAAAATATTTTCTTAAGAATTTTATGGAAATCAATTATGGAAAACAATTTTTGGCAATTTTTAAGGAAGTATATACATTGAGTACGCCCATCTAGGTATATTACCTAATTTTGGGCTGCTGATTTCAAAAATGTTTTGCTCCAGGACGTCTAGGATTCGAAATAATTGCGTAATAAAATGCTCTGCCCAATTATCTCAAAATGTAAGTTTTTGTTAATATTTTGATTATTTATTAAATTATTTTGCCTTAAATCTATTTTGGATGTTTTTTGTCAAAAATATACAAGGACTCCATACAAAGTCATCGGTAGATAAATGTCAAATAGAAATTTTGTTTGTTCCATTGTAGCCGTATATTATATAGTAGTATTTTATAAGTGTTTTTGGGCAAAAATTATAATTTTGTGTCGTTTTTTTAATTACTAATTAAATTGAAAAGGCAACAAAGTAAATGGGTTTCGGTATAAGCACTACTCTTCGACTATTATTTGATATGTTGTTATTCACATCATGCCTAAAGTACCCAAAAATTTAATCTCGAATATTATTTATTAAGTCTTATCAAAATTTAATATCGCCTTTATCTACTTTATCGTTCAAGCACACTAAAGTGCATCTATTAATTAATTTAACATTTAAACTTTAAATTGTATTTTTACTTGAAAGTGATTTTAAGAACCAAAAATGAAAAAATAGCAGGAAATGGAAGTGGCAGAGAAAGAGAAAGGAGACGAACATTTATGTCGTCGTTGTAAATTTGTTTTGTTTTTGTTGCGGTACCTTTACGCCCAAGAAAAACCAACGCAATATTTCATTACAAAATTTTATGAGATATACCTACTACTTTAATTTTGCAGGAATATTAAATGGACCTGATATACGACATTTAATGAAAGATCAAGCATTCAAAAATGCTCTCAAAGTTGACGAGCTTGTCGTATATAGCAGTGTTAAAGCTGTCATTAAAAATGTTCTTGGTTCATATCGGGCCTAAAATTGGGGCCAATTCATTGAAAAAATGCTTTCCGTTTTGCAAAGAATTAGCGTTAATATGTCATTTAAAATACATTTTCTTTTTTCATCCTGATAAATTTGCCGAACTGATGAACATGGAGAACGATTTCACCAAGTAACTGCAAATCTAGAGTATTGGTAGATATCTATGGGTATAGCGGAAATAAGTTGGATTCATTGCTAGAAGACATTTGCTGGAATTTGCAGCAAAAGATGTACGACGATGATGAGGATTAAGCACAATAATACTATAATCCAATTCGATATTTGATACGATTTAATAAATTTGAGGTAGAAAAAAGCAAAATTATGCAATGCATTAAATTTTGAGGGCTTAATTTGGATAAAAAATACTGAAACTTGTTTACTTTTTTACCCTTTCAATTTAATAATTAAAATAAACGACAAAAAATGTTAAACAATGGTGTTTTTTACATAAAATACATTAAAATTTTAGTTTTAGTATTTAAAATGTCATATTGTTTAGATAAATATGATCTATTTGCCCTATACCAATTCTTTAGTACATTCAAGATTAATTTAAGTCAAAATAATTTAATAAATAATTAAAACACCAACAAAAAACTTACATTTTGAGGTGATTGAGCAGAGCATTTTATTACAAAATTATTTTAAATCCTAGACGTCCTAGAGAAAAACTAATGACATTTTTGAAATCAGCGGCACAAAATTGGTTAAACTAAGCTGGAGTACTTAATGTTATGAAAAAAAGTTTGTAAAACTATCATAGTGTTATTAGAGACTGAACTTTTAGGCACTTAAAAATTGAAAAATGCACTCAAAAGGCATAATAGGCACGAAAAAGGCTAAAAAGTCAATATTAAAAAAAATTCCACCAGATGATTTGTTGCCTAAAAATTACCTGTATAAATATAGTATCAATATTTTAACAAATTTTCGGACATCTGTTTCTTTTATTTTTACGTGTAGAATTACCCCCCGAAATATACACTCACAGGCAAAATAATCGATCCACACAAATTTTCGATGAATTTCAATCGCAAATAACTTTTTTATTTGAATTCGGATTTAAACGAATATTAAAGAATATTGTAGATAAATTAATAGACAATCGCTCACATTTTAAAAAATTACTAAAAAAATAGACGTACGTTTATAATATACAGGTTTAAACAAACATATGTTTTTTACCATAAGTTTAAGACACTCTGTAGAGTGGGAAAACCGTATATTGTTTTAAATTAAGTTTTATTTATCTGGTCACATCTATTCTTAATAGTTGTGTTTTTGGTTCACCCCGATATATTTATTTTTGTGGAAAATATGGATTTTTTAAAAAACATTGGAATTTCCAATATTTTTTCTGTATGAAGAACTAAGGTTGCTATGGTAAATTAAAAGGCTATGGAGGATGACAGTGCCAGTTTTGTTGAATCATCCCATACTTGGACATGTCATACACGGCTTTCAAAAGCTATCAAATTGGTTTTTGTAAATTAATGTTTAAATTTTGAGGTGTCTTCTTACTTTAAAAAATGGATATGTCTCCGACTGAGCCATTAATTTAATCCAGGATGGACGGTCACAGTATTACGTATAAACGTCACAAGAAGTAAAGTACAAAGGGCAACATCAGTCGGAGACATTTTTAAAAGTAAGAAGACACCTCAAAATTAACACATTAATTTACAAAAAATAATTTGATAGCTTTTAAAAGCTGTATATGACATGTCCAAGTATGGGATGATTAAACAAAACTGTCACTGTCATCCTCCATAGGCTATGGATGGACCATAGCAACCTAAAAAAAATCCATATTTTTTACAAAAATAAATATATCAAGGTGAACCAAAAACAAAACTGTTAAAAATAGATGTGACTTGATAATTAATTAAAACTTAATTTAGAACAATATACGGTTTTGCCACTCTACAGAGTGTCTGAAACTTATGGTAAAAAACAAGTTTTTGTTTAAACCTGTATATTATAAACGTACGTCTATTTTTTAGTAATTTTGTAAATGTGAGCGATTCTCCATTAATATATCTACAATATTCTTCAATAATTGTATAAATCCGAAATCAAATAAAAAAGTTATTTGCGATTGAATTTCATCGAAAATTTGTGTGGATCGATTATTTTGCCTGTGAATGTATTTTTATTTTTTCCTAAATATTTTATAAATGATCCATTGAAATAATGCCCACAAATAAAATGTTAAAACCTGTACACAAAACACATACATAAATCCATTTTATTGAAGATATTTATTGTTATAACAATACATCGCGTTGCATCGTAGCAAACCGGCAGTGGTATTTAAATTTGAAAAAAAATACAATTTACCATCACGAACCCGTTTATTTGACTTTATTGAGATTCCCTCTTGCACATATTCCGTACAAAATAATATTAGTATTGTATAACAATCCATCTTGAAGAGTACTGTTGTAGTTGGAGTTTATGAATTTTTTTCGAAAAGTTCACGGTTTTAGCAATTAAGGAGCGCTCTGTTATATAAATCTAGATATTAATTTTGTGTGGGCTTCATAGTGTTTTTGGTCAGCAAAATATCAACATGTTTTTCGAGCTGGTAAGATTTTTGGAATTGTTGGTGCCCTTTGGGATTAATCCTGGTGAAAGTGAAAGTTTGTATTATTATAAGGAAGTCAGGAAAATATCAAATAAGTTGACCTTTGTTCTATTTATAGTTACAAGTAACAAGAAAACTTTGATTTCAAAAATAAATTGAGGAACATTAGTTATTATTTGAGGTTTTAAGCTTGCCTACTTGTAACTTAATATAAATATCTGAGCATAGACTTTCTATACCTACTTAATTTTCTGAAAGATTCAAATTCTTTTTTAAATAATGGCGAATGCGCGGGGATATTTTGAAATATTAAAAGTCTCAGATCTTTTTGGGGAAAATTTTATAAACTTGAATGTTATAGAACTTTGTTTTCGAGATATATTTTCAAAAATTTCAAAAACTAATTGACATAATTTAATAAAACATTTCAGGTTTTTAGTAATTTAATGTAATTAAATGTAATTAAATGTAATTAAAACGTCACCGTTTGTGCTATCTCCATTTTCTACCATTTTGAGGTTTATGCATTTTTGGAAAGTTGAAGTTGGTTTGTTCCATCTCCATAATAGTATTTTGATATAATTGTGTCAGTTTTTAGTTTAGGTTAGTCTAAATCCGATTTTAGTATAAAAGGTTTAAAATTGGTTTACTCTATCTCCAAAATTTCGCTTACAGGCTTTCTTTTGCTCTATGTGTTTGTAAAAATCTCAAAATAATTAGTATTTGTTTGTGCTATATCCATTTGGAAAAAATATTTTATAACTGTTTTGGAAGGAAAGCTTCCTTATAAGTATAAAATTGTTTTGTTCTATACCCACTTTAGCCAGTACACGTTTTTTAACCTATTTACATGTATATGACATTGTATTTTGACAATAATTATAAATATTATTATTAAAGTAAATCATTATTAAAGTGTTTTTTAATTCAGTTTTGTTTCATGTCCTAAAACTTTGTTATATGTCCAACATTTTGTTTCTAAAATCCAAAAATAGCACTTTTTGTTTTATCTCCAAAACGTTTTTTCCAATATTGAGGCATAAATCCAAATTTGAGATAAGAGTTGTTCAATAGAACTAATTAAAGGCTTAACAAGAATATTGTTATTAATGTTTAATTAAGTTTTCATTAAAAAACAAATAAGATATTTAATGTAAAAGTTTCAAACCCGTTTATCTCGATTATAACATATTGGACATAGAACAAATCAATACTCAGGTGACGAAAAGTAAAATACAAAATGTGAAAATTATTTTATTATCTCAATACAAAAATACACAAGTATTAAATAGTTTTTTGAGGCCAATATTTGAAAAGATTATATGAATGTTTGTACTGATTTCGCCGTAGTAGTGCATTTAACTAGATTTTACTGATAAAGCGTTAAACATTTTGCGTACAGTGCCCATTAAACATTCTCTTCTCTTTTACCGTGAAAAACTGCTTTTATATCGATTGTTAATCTAAGTTCAGGGGATAAATTTTGTATTACAAAGAAAAATTTGAGATGTTAACGCTGGTAGATAAATACAACTGTTAATTAATAATATTTTGGAATTATAGTTATAAAAAAATCAAAGGATAACATTTTTTCTTAACATAATCATATTTTGAACTTATTTTAATATTTTAAAGTATCAATAATTGTTAAGTTTAATTAAAATAATAAAGGGCAATGAAAAATGTTTATTGGGATGGTTACTTTATTTTTGTATACAAATATTTAATTTAAATTATTTTTTGTCATAAAAAAGTAGTAGTATGCAACTCGTTTATAAACTTTTCTAGGCACTCATATAATTAAATTATTAAGTATACTATTTTAAATTAGGCAATTTTTGTCTTTTGTATTTTTTCTTTATCTTATTTAATTTTTGGAAAAAAATAAAATTTGTTTATTAATAATAATATTATAATAATAATAATCGAGAAAAAATGCAAGAAGCCAAAAAGTTGTAATTTTAATTACTTTATCTAAATATGATATCTAACTCAAAACCAATGGCGTGACCTTGATTTTCTTTATTAACTTTAAAACCCTGTATCTCAAAAAAAACTTTAAAGCATACGAGTTCATATAAACTTTTCTTCTTATTGACTATTAAATTTTCTCAATTAAAATCCGAGACATCCTGTATAATTATGTTTTTTTTAAATAATGGCAAGGCTATTTAAAGCCTATGTTTTATACAAATATATAAAAAGTTTTTTTGGTACACAAATCTTAAAAAAAAAACTCATAGTTGCTTTAAAAAAAGTAGGTAGTATTATACAATCCTAAAAAATCTTAAAAACGACATTTCAGAGAATAATTAAAATGTATTTAAAGTACCTATAAATAACTACAAAAATATAAATAATTTATATTTTTGTTATTAACAACATTTATTTAGTCAAATTGCATAGTATTGTTTTTTTGTGAATAATGATAAACATTATAAATTCCCTGCCTAACAACTGGAATAACTCATTATTCACGTTGTTAAGCATTAGTGATTGGCCGATTTCAATATTCACTGTGATTTGAACCAATCGGGTTTTAAATTGGGAGAAGGCGACTATAATAACATTTAAAACTGGTAAAAAGTGAGGTTAACCATTTGACAGATGTCAGATTTTATTTATTTATTTTTGAAAATCATTTAATTATCCACTTATTGGAGTGGATAAAATATAGTATTACACTAGTGTCTTGCTAGAGTAGTTTCTTAAAAATATTATTATTAACACAGTCTTATTTGGAAATTTATAATATTAAGTTTACCGTGAAAGAAGAACATATTACAATTGAATGCTATATTGCTGGAACAACGTTGTAAGTGCCATGGTAAAATGTATTTTTGTGAAATAATATTTTATGTGTTGTAAACACAGTGTTTGTATCTACCCGATAGAATCTACCATATTTTTAATGTTATACCTTCCTAGTAAAGCCAATTTTTTACAATGCTTTATATAAAAGGGTAAAAAGTTCGTTATGTATGTTTATCTATTTTGCGTTCATAATGACTTCATTATAACACCGCTTTCAGTGCTGTAATGAGATACTTTATCCCACCCTAAATTTTGATTTTATAGGTTGGCTATACTTTAAACAGCATAATGTTTTGCATATTGGTTATAATATTTTTATGATTTTTCTAGTACTTTTCTGGCAATAAATTTTGTTTACCACCAAAGAAAATCCTTTTTTTCTTCTTTAAAATTAACAGACGCTTATAATATTTTTATGATTTTTCTAGTACTTACGAGGCGTTTCTGGAAATAAATTTTGTTTACCACAACAGAAAATCCTTTTTTTCTTCTTTAACATTAACAGCCGCTTATTGTATATAAGTAAATTAAGGACGGCATGGCGAATCGATTTTGACATTAACTGTCAAACCAATGACTGTGATACCAACTATCTAAAGTAAAATTGGACCAAATTAAATTTAAGGTATAAAATTATTTTTTTTTGCAAAATATATAAAATATCATAAAGAACTCATGTCATAAGGCCTTTTGTCGCACTTGTCCAAACAAATGGAATTATGGTGGTTGGTTTTATAAAAAAAAATTTAGGATATATTTAACGAATACTTATTTTTATTTCCTATTTTGTGAAATGACGACGACTTTCCTATTTGATTTTGAACCATAAGCACCAGTTTATTATTAGTACGTATTTTTTTATAATAATTTTTAGCAAACCTTTACGTTTATAATTATATTATAATATAATATTATGTAAAATAATATATTGTATTTTCCCTAGGTAACAATTTCTTGTTATTTGACATTAGTCGCTCCGCAACATTATGCACCTCAACAATATGCTCCAGAAGCAGGAGGTGTTCCTGCTTCGCAATATCCAGCAGGAATCGACCCGGCATCCTGCCCCAACTATCCCAACTGTGAAAATCCATTTGTGGCACTCAGCAAAACTCATAACGTAGCCCCGTTCAATCAGGCCCCTCAACAATTTGCTCCTGCAGCGCAGTACAGCCCTGCACCAAGGTGAGTAAAACTTACATTTTGCCATCAAATCATATTGAAATATCCCTAGGTACAAAGCTCAACAGTACTCCCCAGTATACCAACAAAAAGCTGTCCAGCAATATGCAGCACCTCAATATCAACAACAAGCCGCCATTCCTCAATACCAACCTCAGTATCAACCTCAATATCAAGCCGCGCCCACTGCAGCTCCTCAAGCAACTCCACAGTACAGCCCTGCAGTGCAAAACGCTTTGGATCGCGGTGAATACATTGGGGACGGGGATTACCTTGGAGACGAATCAGGGCCATCTGTCGGAAATCCCGGTGGTAATCCAAGTTATAGTTTTAACCTTAATAGTTAGTATGAGACATAAACAATAGTGAGATTTCAAACAGTCTTCTTTCATCTCACTACTGTTTACATTTGCAATCTCTTTATAAGCTAAAGATGATGAATTTTCAGTTGGAGCGTCTCCTGTTTATGCTCAGCCACCAAGGTACAGTCTTCAGCAGTACAATCAGCAGCAGGAGGTGACAGCCGAAGTGGGAATTCCTGCTCAAATTCCTGCAGGGGTGGACCCCAGAGCGTGTCCAAATTATCCTTACTGTCATTAAGTATCCTAAATTAAATTTTGCTTAACAAAAGCTTTAAGAAAATGCTGTAAATTAAAAACAAATTTATATGTAGGTTGTAAAAATAGATTTCATGTCTGGGATAGTCTATAATTAGGAGTAACTTTAGTAAGTATTATTTAATCGTAAGAAATTATCTGTAAATAGATGAACGTTAGTTGAGAAATGTTGGTGAAATTTCCCTATCACGATTTATTACATCATCTAATAACCGTGTTTTCTTGCCAATTATAAGGAAACGAATCTTTTGCAATTGAAATGGCAATGATAATATCATTATGATGTTATTTGCAAATATTAATATTTTTTACAGCGATAATTGTATTTAATGTAATAAAAAAAGTTAAACTAACAATTTTATTTTTTCCCATCTTTAATCTTAAACCTAAATTATATTTATAGTACGAGGTGTGTTTAGAAAATATCGGGAATTTTCGTTTTTTGAAACAAATATTTATTTATTCGTCTACATTAATGTTGTCGCCTTCAAAATAGTCCCCATTGGATATTATGCACATGTGCCAGCTCTTCTTCCAATACTCGAAACACTTCTAAAACTCGATCTTTGAGATAGCCTTTAGTTCTTTCAGCGATGCGCTTTTAATGTTATCTATGCTTGCAAAACGACGGCCCTTTAAGGTTCTCTTTATTTTTGGGAATAGGAAAAAGTCAGACAGAGGCATGTCTGGCGAATATTGAGGCTGGGGAATCATTACAGTATTGTTTTTGGCCAAAAATGTTGTTCAAAATTTAAAAATTTTAGAACAAATTTTGCTGCCACGCGTTTCATAACCAAAACATTCGAAAAAATTTCATGGGATGAGCCAATCGATATACCAACATCATCAGCGACTTCTCTGATGGTTTATAACCATTTCTTCCACTTTTTCCATGTTTTTATCGGTTGTTAATGTGCTTGTGCGTTTGGGGCGTTCGTCATCTTCAACGTCTTCACGGCCATCCTGGAAACTTTTTTTTTAAGTTAAATTGGATACAATTTCTTTTAACGAACGAAAAATCGCCGAGCTCATAAATCACGTCTAACCTTAGCGGCTGCCACAGACAAAGTAAACAATGAAAACAGCTAACGTTTTTATCATACTTCGGGGGATGTATACCAACATAATACAGAAAATTTTATGACAACCGGACCCTTCGAACCCGCGAAATTTAACGATTTCCGTTATTTTCTGAACACACCTCGTACTATACTTTTTCTACGACAAATTCTTAATATTATCTAAAAATTCATTTAAATTAAATATTTGTTTAAAGCGACATCTATACGAAAATAAAGTAAGTAACCATCCCAATAAACATTTTTGACGTAATTTTCACCCTTATCTTCAAAATATGATTTTTTTATTACTATAATTACAAAATATTATCACAATTCTTACACGGGAAATGTTAAAAGGACAAAAAGTGACAATTGCATTGAAATGTCCAACTTGGGAATCTACCGGCGTTAAAATCTTAAGTTTTTCTGCGTATATCAAAATTTATCCCTTGAAAATATACTAACAATCGATATAGAAGCAGTTTTTCAAAGTAAAAGAGAAGAGAATGTTTTATGGGCACTGTACGAAAAATTATTAAAGTTTTATCAGTTAAATCTAATTAACTGCACTACTACGGCGAAATCAAAAGGTCAGTACAAACGTTCATATAATATTTTCAAATATTCGCGTTAAGAAACTATTTAATACTTTTGTGTTTTTTTATTGAGATAATACAATAATTTTCACATTTATTATTATTTTACAAGAAGGGCACTTTATTTTAACGAATGTATGACATTTGACAACTGCCAACTAACATAAAAGCAACTTCAGCCCGTGACTAAAAACCTGTTGCCAACTTCAGCCCGTGACTATAGCCCTTTATAAAGGGCCATAAAGCCACAACTTGTCAATGTGTATTTAAAAGGTCATGGAAACATGTACGATAATGGTCGTTTTAAAGGTGGGATTAGAAAAAAGTATTTTTTGTTTTTTTTGAAAAATTTATTTGCATGAATCGTTTGAGGCTCATCGAAAAGCTTAACCCCAACTTTGCGTTATCCTATTTTTTTATTTTTTTTTTTTAGAAAACGATGTAAGTTTTAAAAAATTGTGAACAAAAAAAATAACAATTTATGTCATTGGGTCAATGCTCTAGAACGAAAAATTCAAAAAGTTGGTACCAAAAAAAGCGTTTCATCTATTTTTTCGAAATATATTAACGTTATTTTCGGACACCCATTATATAATATAGCGAAAATGTTTCATACAAAAATTATTTTTTGAAGTGTAAAAATTCAGTACTTATTATGTTATTGTAGCTTTTAAGTTAAAAGTTTACAAATCAACATATAAAATATACTTTGTTTTAAAAACTGAAACCTTTAAAAATGATTTATACTAAAATTAGTAAAAAGCACCTGCTTGCATTCCGTCTTGTTAACAGACCGTTATAAGTACGGTGAGGTGTGCAATTTTGCCAAGGATCTACAACCTTAATGGATATAAACAAAGAACTACAACCTATCAAGGCAACCAATAAAAACTGATGTCATGCAGTGCTCTACTTGTTCAGATAGAATCTGATTTATAATATCGAAAATCCATATTGATACGGCTACACAGACTATAGTACAAAAAATACCTTTTAAATGGTCTACATGGCCAATTACAAAAGCTTGGGAAGTTAATTTAGATTTAAGATTAGGTAAATGTGAAGAAAAAATAAATAAAATTGTTTTTGTTTTCATACATGTATGTATACTATTATTTTTTTAATGACTGTATACTATTTTTTATAGACATTTTTGCGTTTATTATTTTTTAAATTTGTTTGTGTTGCATTTAAAATAAAAAAGGTACTAACCTTTCAAGTTAGCCTAATTTGCCCTGGGTTTTATAAGGTATTTGTTGAAAAATGTTAAAGAATTAACAGGGAATCTTTTAAGCAATGTTTTAAGATTCCAAAAATTTCACCGTCATTTCCGCAAACCTATAGCAAAAAAGTTTTAGAATATTTATGATTGACGCGCATTTGTCAAATTTTAACGAAAGCAAATTAATAACTCAAAAACTATTCACTTCAGTTATAGGACATGGTATAGTAATTTTACTTAGAATTTTATGTAAAATTTAAAAATGTCAAAATATATGGGGTGTTCTATTTAAAATAACAAAGTTGATGTCATTTTTTGTTAAAAATTTTGTTTAAAATATTTTAGAAAAATAGATACACCTACCTAAATGGATTATAAATGCTTTGAAAATTTCAAATCGACATCTTTTTTTGATAGCCAGAAACTTCTAATGAACCATGAATGAAAATACTTACGATTCTTTAAGTGATTTTAAGACAAAAAGTTCATATAAACAATGCTTTGTCATCAAGATACAGCGTGTTAAACTTTGATAAACATAAACAAATATTTTTGACCAAAAAATTTATGCCTCTAAAAGTTGTAGAGAAAAAAATAAAATACACTTAAATGCATATCTTGTGTGGTACATGAAAATACCATTAAGAGGATTTTATTTTTTTTGTAGCAAACAAAATTCAAGAGACAAAAAAGTTGTATTTTTTGTTGCTTTAACCGAAAAAATGCAGAATTACAAAAATTCAGTGGCGTACATTTAATAAATTTAATCAACTAAGAGCTAAATTAGCCCCTTAACGCTAAAAATAACACTGCTACAACTAAATTGAGTAAAGGATATTTAAGATATTTACGAAAAACCAATTTAAAACAAAAAAAGTTGAACACCCTGTATCTTAAAAACGCAGCATTTGCAGACCCATCTTTAAATAAACTTACAATCGCTCACAAAATCGTCTGTTAAATTTAGTTTACGTAATTAAGTAACACCCTGTATACAGTGTGACCCATTTGTTTGTGACTCACGCCTGTAAAATCTTTATAAAATATATTTATTGTGCGATTTTAACCGGATTTGTTTTAAAGTGATAAACTGTATTTTTGGACAAAAAAAAGATATTTTACAAAATATAAGGCCTACTATGTCAGTTTTTGAGAGTACATTTTTAGGAATTAATATTAGCGATTAAAAAAAAACTATGCACGGCACTGGATTCACCACCCCTCAAAACGACCCTATACAAAATTTTATTGAACATTTTTAAGTATACTTAAATCGTTACTATAGTAACGATTTTATAGCCAAATTAAAAAAATGCACAATTACAATAATAGTAAATTATTTACAAAAACAAACATTGAAATTAAATTAAAAATGGTATAAAATTTATTATATTTATTTATATTTAATATTCTTATGCTTAGTTTTGAAAAATAAAAAACGCACTATAAACTTAAAACAATGAAACAAAAAATAGAGAATTCCAAAAATTCTCTACATTTAGATTTTCGTCACCTCTACTAATCCACCATTTATTTTAATACACTTAATAATTCTTAAAAATTAAAATTTTTAAATTGCATTTTTATACATTATTTATTCTAAAAGTAATTAGTTTTTTATGGAAATAATAAAGATGGAAAATCTAACTTTAAGAGACAAAATAGAAATTGTAGGGCGGAATTTGATTGAGTGGCCGCCGAGATCCCCAGATTTGACGCCACTCGATTTTTTTCTTTGGGGTTTACTGAAACAAAAGGCTTACAAATCAAGGCCACAAACTGCACAGGAACTACGGGCTAGGATAATACAAGCCTGTGCAGCCATTACACCAGAACAAATTCGAAAAATAACTACAAATGTACGCAAAAAAAATATTAAGTGTATTGAAATAAATGGTGGATTATTAGAGGTGACGAAAATCTAATTGTAGAGAATTTTTTAAATTCTCTATTTTTTGTTTCATTGTTCACGGTGGTCAAAACTTAAGTATATAGGACGAACAAAAATGCCAACCAAAACTTATCCCAGCTGATCCTATTTTAAAGTTTAGCAAACTTTTTTGTTTTTCTATTTCTATATATTATTTTGCAATTATTGTACTAAAACTACCTGTACAATTTTAATAAAATTAAGCAAAATAATAAACTTTGTATCATTTAAATTACTTTACTCCCCAGTATTAATTTATTGAGTCACCTATTATTTTTTACAACTCAAAACAAAACATAACAAAAAAAACGAAGATTTATATCTTAAATATTTTTTATAACAAAAAATACTGGAAGTTTGTCTATGAAATAATTACAACTTGCAAATTTTGTAAAACAATAATTAAGGCGGTTATGAAAAAAATTGCTATACGTTATAACGCAAGTGACATTTTGCTTTAGTTGTTTCTTTAATGTATACTTTATAAAGTTAAAAATAGTATTTTAAAATGAAAATTAAACCGAAATTCAAGTTAAGCCATGAAGAAAATAGAAAGAAGGTATGTTCTGGCTGTGGAGACAAAATTGTTTTTGGTAATCGAAAAATTCAGAGTTTGGGGTTTCTGAGAAAATATAAAAATTACTGCAGACTTTTTCAAACGAACACTTTAACTTAAGTGAATCAAAATTACCTACTTCAATATGGTAAAAAAGATATTTTTGCATAGCCACAATTGCCAAATTTTCAAAATTTAGAAATTGCTAGAGAATTTCGCGGCAGCCAAGAATGTATGTGCTTTATCTGCAAAATGGCAAGATATAAAGGGAATAAAAAGTTATTAAGGGAAGAGGACGGACGAACGAACTAAAGTTTTGATATGCTCTTCCTTTCTAGGGGATATCGCTAGATGTAAGAAGCATGTTTGTACAGAGACTGAAGAATTTAAAAATACTGTTTCCATGTTAAAACCAATTCCATGTAAAAGCCAAAAAAAAGTTTTACTGAAAATTTAAGGCAAGCAGTAATCGATGTTGCTTCAAAGAATCTTTAATTATTTATTAGTTTTGTATTAGGTACCTTAAAACAATAAATAAGATATTGCAGACTGTATTTTACATTATTTTGTATTTATAATGTAATTTTTCTATATTTCGGTCATGTATCTGCGAAATTTTTAAAAACATTTGATAATGGTACTAGAGTATTTTATCGAAATGACATAAACAATTTTAAAATACTAAGAAATATGCAAAACTTTAATAAAGGATCAGCTGGGATTTTGATAAATACATTTTTGTGTTACCAAAAGAGTCTATAATCAGTTTTGGTTGGCATTTTTGTTCGTCCTATACTTTAGTTTTGACCACCGTGTGTAGTTTTATTGCGTTTTTTATTTTTCAAAACTAAGCATAAGAATATTTATACCAAAGTCTAATATTTTTTTAAGAAAAGAGTTCAAAATCGCCTTTAAAATCGATTCCTAAAGAAAAATCAAAATATTTTCTACTTCTGCGATTTATTTTATAAACAAGTTAATTACTCCCAAACTTTTAAGCAGATTTATATATACTTATAAATCAGATTTAACTGCCAGTGACCTGGCATTTAATATAATTTTTTCAAGCTTCTTGGAGGAGGCAGCTGTCCCCACCCTCCCCTCCATGGCGACGCCCTTGGTTCTAAACTACTTATATGTTAATTAATATTTCTTATAAAATTCTTAAAATGCCACTTGAAAGAGTTAACTAATAAAATAATCAAAATAAAAATAATTCTTCTTACAAAAAATAAATAAATATAGGTACATATAATATAATAAATAATACTCCAATTATTGTGTATAATATGTGTATAAATTGTATATAACTGAGACACAGGTAGGTAGTGTGGATAGGTAGGTAAGCAGCATGCATGCATGCACAAGTGCTAGACAATAGAAAAATGGAACGACGTAAGGTCACAGTCTCATTATTAATAAAATAAGGAAAGCCTCACCTATAATAGGTATTTCAACTTTTTATCGGGTAGTAGGCATTTTTTCGAATTATTGAATATTTACCATGGCAATGAGAAGCAAAAACCTTGGAAACAATGTGACAGAAAGCAAATTGCATAGAACAAAGTTTTGTACTAGGATATGAGCCAAAGTGCGTTCAGGATAATGCCCCATTTTCTATACTTTATTCCCCGTGTGGGATCGGTATTAAAAATACCAGATACTGTTACAATTACACAAAACGGGTGGATAGGGTGTGGTAGACATATATATAAACCTCATTTAACGTCTTTGTCACTAATCAAGTGTTCATTTAAACCGACAACATGTTCGTAAAACTGGTAAGTCAGTGACACATCCTAACCATGCGCAAGGACTAAGTTTTGTGAAATCAGTGATATACTACTCGAAAGTGAATTGTGAAAAATCGTTTTTTTGGATACCGATACGTTTCTTTTGGGGTGCATTTGGACTATTTTGTGTTTCTTTTTTATTCATTATTGCAAGGAAATATTATCTACAAAAGGACAATTGTCCAAGTGCCCCATATAGGAAAATTTACCAAAAAAATGTTTTTTTACTTTAGGTAGAAAATTATTCCAATTTTTTAATTACCTAACTTAATTAACTAATTTAATTTTTTTGGAAAATTGATACAAAATCTGTTTTCTCTAATTATTTCTAAAGAAACTAAATATTATTTTCGATAATTAAACTTAAGTTTATAAATTTATATTTCATAATTTTTCGAATGGTATACCAATGTATACATTGGTACATTGGGCTACTTATGGCCAACATCGGTAGAAATCATCTTTCAATTATGATAAATATATTTGTATATTATCGGTATTTATAGGAAGCGGGCGTGCGTAAGCAGCGGTGAGATGTTTTACTATTATATTTGTTTATATCTTTGTAAATTAATTACATTTTTAGGATTTTTTTTTTGCAATTATGTTGAACATTGACCAATTTAACCTATCCCTGATAGCAAAATTTGATTCTAAGAATCTTCTAAGAAGATATGACCCGGAATAATGGAATAATCTTATGGAGCTTCTAGGAAGCTTTTGAAAATATTTGCAAATATGTCAGATACCCACGTTCTAATATGTTGGATTCTACATTCGTAAAATTCTTCAGGAGGCGACAAATACGCCTCACTGTCATAATATGAAAGTGAAATGTATTTGTCGTCCCCTTAAAAAATTTTGGGACATAATATATATTTATTTAAAAATATTAAATAAACAATTTGACTTCTAAACCATAAGTTGTATGACATTATTTCATAAAATGTAAAATTGGAAAATTTTGTGGGATAAGTCAGATTAGATTGAAGTTGAAGATAGTTAGGATTATTATACATAAAAATGTTAATTTAGAAATAAAAAATCGGTATACAAATTAATAAATATTTATTTTTAATATAAAATAAAATATAAAAAAACAAAATATTTCCTTATAAAATAATTCTTCATAAAAGAAAAAACCAAATTGTTATTCATAAAAAAACATTTTTCATTTTATTTAAGTTGGATAGAAGATTTTATGTAAAAGCCGGATAATTTAGATACCTATAGTAAAAGTACCCAGATAGCAAACGTGAATACGAAATCACGCGTGAGTGAATAATGTGTGCTATATGATTTCACACGTGAAGTCTTGAACTCGTAATTCACACGTGAGTAGATTATGAATTCATATTATAGTCTCGTGTGATTTAATCGATTTTATTTTAAAATACATGGATTGCATGATTAAAAACTGCACGTTTATAGAATATTAATATTCTAATATCAAAATATTACCTGACGCGCGAATTTTGGAATTATTATTTTAGTTACATTTTTAAAATTCGCACAGCTCCATTGCGCAATTATATAATATATTAAGTTATAAGTAGTTATATTATATAATTATATATTATAATATATTATTATAATTATATATATTAAAGTAATATATATAATTACATAATATATATTGGTTTAAAAGCTATACTGCCCTACTATGGAGAAAGGCAGTAACTGCTAAACAAGAAATTTGTGGAAAATTAGCATAAACTACATTTAATGAAAAGCAGTAAGTTTATAATTGATTTTTTTAACTTATGAGATATTTGACTGCATTTCTGTGTTGAATTCGGTTACAAAATGTCCATAGCTTTACCATAGCACAAGAAAACGCATTTTGCATTTTTTTGCAGTTACTGCCTTTCTCCATAGTAGGGCAGTATATCCCTATATATCCTTCATTGAGTTATTTTCTATCGGTCTCAATAGGGAAAATGTAAAAGTTATGGTGTGCCTATAGGTAATTTCCAAACATTTTCTATCGGGCTGTATCCGGAAAAAACCTTGGACAAATGCACATATTGAAACCGGTAGCACCCGATAGAATATTTTGTATAGGTCTCTATGGGGTATTTTAAGCAGGGAGGTCACAATTATATGTTATAGGTACATTAATAATTAATATATGTATATTTTATATTAATTAATTAATTAGTTAACCTTAAGGTTATAATTGTAATGTATAACCTATAATTGAGGAGCAATCAACCAAAACCAGATAAATCCATTTTGACTTCTTGAATGATTCATATTTCTTTTAGTCGGATAAATCAATTGGAAAAGTGAATTTCAAGATAAACTTATTATGATAATATATATATTATATACTAATATTAATATTAATTAATATATAATATAATAATTATTATATAATATTAATATTAATATTATGATCATATCATATTATGATAACAAGTTTAGCTTGAAATAGATATTTCCAATGGATTTATCTGAACAAAAGAAATAGGAACCATTCAAAAAGTCGAAATGGATTTATCTGGTTTAGTCTGATTGCTTCTCAATTATGGCCTTTTAAACCAAGTTTTTGTGTATTTTTTTAAGATGTTAAAATAAATATTTCGACAGATTAAATTATTTTGAAAAATGAAATCCATATTCTAAAAGCCCATGCGCAAAAAATAAAAAGTTCACGCGTGATGGCAAATTGAGCATCAATTGAGGACTCATCTGTCGCGTTATATGAATTCACGCGTGAATTTAATTTTCACGCGTGAATTCGTAGTGAATTCATAGTGAATTCATTTTGCTATCTGGGTATTTTTGTAATCGAATATTGTTTTAATTTGACAAATAACTTTAAAAATATATTTTGGGTTGGGTTTTTTACTTAGTATTTAATACTAAGTATATGTACCCTAACTGAACTGAATATGCTTAATAGAATGTTCCAGGAATATTCCTAAATGAACTATAGCAATTACTTTCTCAACATTCTAAGCATATGTTTAGAGTGGATTAATTTTTACCACTAAACTTTGCACCTTCTAAGAACCTGCCTATAGGCCAGTGAGAATATTCTTAGGATTATGCTATATTTATTTTAAGCATGTTCTAGAAGAAATATAGCATGATCCTAAGAATATTCTCACTGGAAGGTTTAAAAAACATTCTTAGAACATGACTAGAAGAAATATAGCATGATCCTAAGAATATTCCCACTGAAAGGTTTAAAAAACATTCTTAGAATAAACTGTGCTATCAGGGATTAAGTAAACGAAATTTATGTTATTTATAATAATTTATTATTTTTCTACATTACGTCGGCAAAACGTTGGGACAATATCGTGATTACCTTCCAGATTATTTTTTAAATGTTTGATTAACACCCAAAATATTTATACCCGTGCATTTCTAAAACACCATTTTTTCAAAAATCTTTAGGCTGTAATATCTTGCGTGGTGGCGATGTCATCGGCCGTTTGGAACGGACCATTGGCCGGTGGAGTGCCTGCTCATCAATATCCAGCCGGAGTTAGTCCCCAAGCCTGCCCCAACTTCCCCAACTGCGCCAATCCCGCCGTAGCCGCCCAACCAAACGCCCCTGCCCCAGCGTGGAACGGAGCCCCAGCTCAACAATGGAACCAAGGTAAGACAAGATTCTTTGGGAGTTGATGGGTTAAAAGTTTTATAGGAAAGTTATGAAAAATATACTTTTTTGTAAAAAAAATTCAAAATTATTGCAGATGTAAGTAAAGAGCTCGCTAAAATTTAAAAATTAATATTGAACGTATTTAAATGTTAAAAATATATGAAAATAAATAAAAATGTAATAATCGGGAACATTTTAAAAATATATTTTTTAGAACTAAAACACAAAAAAGTAAAAACAACTTCTTAATGAACTTTGCATGTTCAGAAATATTTAACGATTTTAAATTTGAACTATTAGGTTCTTTACTTTCTTAAAAAACAACAAATAATTCCACGGTAAATAATTTTTTAAATTGCCAACAAATATTAACTGTCCCTTGTGTATTATACACAAGGGACAGTTAAGATTTGTTGGCAATTAAAAAACTAGATGAAACTATTTTTGGAACCAAAGTAAGATGGGAGTTGATGGGCCAAAAGTTTTATATGAAATTTATGGCCAATATACTTTTGTGTAAAAATGTGCAAAATTATTGCAGATGTAAGTAAAGAGCTCGCTAAGATTTAAAAATTAATATTGAACGTATTCAAAGGTTAAAAATAAATGAAAATAGAAAAAATGAAAAAAATCGAGGACATTTAAATAAAAAAGGTTACTATTTGCGCTTTTAAAAAAATTGGCTTAGTACGAAAATTTAAAACCTACAATAAATAAAGACGAATATGGATTGGTAAAAATAAGAATAAGAATTTAAAATTCCTAAACATTTAAAATCAATAAATGTATAAAAATCTCTAAATTTAAGATTTTTAAAAAATTGAAAAACAATATATACAAGGTATATACAATTATGTACCGTATACGGTGTCCTGAAAATGTAACACTAAAGTAGATGGTGTTTAATTTGAGAAACTTTAAAGCTTATAATTATTACTCAAAAAATACCCAGATTTTTTCTTATAATTTTAAAAATATATTTTTTAGAACTAAAACACAAAAAAGTAAAAACAACTTCTTAATGAACTTTACATGTTCAGAAATATTTCACGATTTTAAATTTGTACTATTAGGTTCTTTACTTTCTTAAAAAACAACAAATAATTCCACGGTAAATAAGTTTTTAAATTGCCAACAAATATTAACTGTCCCTTGTGTATTATACACAAGGGACAGTTAAGATTTGTTGGCAATTTAAAAAATATATGAAACTATTTTTGGAACCAAAGTAAGATGGAAGTTGATGGGCCAAAAGTTCTATATGAAATTTATGGCCAATATACTTTTGTGTAAAAATTTGCAAAATTATTGCAGATGTAAGTAAAGAGCTAGCTAGAACTTAAAAATTAATATTGGAGGTATAAATGTAAAAATCGAGGACATTTAAATAAGAAAGGTTACTATTTGCGCTTTTAACAAAATTGGCTTAGTACGAAAATTTAAAACCTACAATAAATAAAGACGAATATGGATTGGAAAAAATAAGAATAAGAATTAAAAATTCCTAAACATTTAAAATCAATAAATGTATAAAAATCTGTAAATTTAAGATTTTTAAGAAAATATAAAACATTTATACAGGGTATCCTGAAAATGTACCACTAAAGTAGAAGAGTTTAATTTCAGAATTTGTAAAGCTTATAATTATTACTGAAAAAATACTCAGATTTTTTTTTTATTTTAAAAATATATTTTTTAGAACTAAAACACAAAAAAGTAAAAATAACTTCTTAATGAACTTTGCATGTTCAGAAATATTTCAAACCCACAAATAATTCCATAGTACCATATTTTTTTTAATTGCCAACAAATATTAGCTGTCCCTTGTGTATTATACACAAGGGGCAGTTAAGATTTGTTGGCAATTAAAACGAATTATAATATTAAAATGGGAAATTCTAAATAGGTGGATACAACCCAGCTCCAGTGCCACAATACAATAACGCCAATGCCGGACTCAGCCCACTTGACAGAGGAGAATACACCGGTGACGGAGACTGGCATGGGGAAGGCCTCTCTGAATCTGGCGCCTACGGTAAATGCAACAAAAAAATCTAAATTAACACAACAAAATATATACTTTATATACATTTAACGCGCTTTATCTTTTCAAATATTTTACGAAGAAAAGTTTAATACAACATTTTTTTTTATTGTATACAAAAAATTTGATACTTTTATCAAAAAATGTCCAGAATATGATATAGTTATTTTGCAAAAACTGTAAACCTAAAAACTTATTCCAAAATATCCCTAGTAATAATGGATTCGAATTGGACAAGATTCTTTGTCAAGATACTTGGAGAAGCACTTTGTAAAGAATGATTGATCAAAATTCTTTATCCAGACTGGTGGCAGACTTGGACAAGTCTGTGACCAGAATTTGACCAGATTCTTACACGATTACACGTTAAATAGGAACTTTCAATTCAAGATTTTTGGTCAATACAAAATTTTGTTGAACTTCAAAAGTTAAGAATGTTACTAAAAACATTAATTTTCCACGATTTCTTTCCAGTAAATTCGGTTTTTATCCATAAATCTGGTAAACAATAGAATTAAAAACGAAACAAATTTTGAAAGAGTTAAAGTTTTTAATTTTCTATGTTAAAAAAAACCAGGTGCCCGTAAAAATAAACATGTATTTTACAATCTTTCATGTTCATAAAGAGTAAACTCTAGTTATGCGTCAGAGCTGACACACACTTTTTTTTTAATTTTTGATTTTTAGAAATAACAATTTTTATTTTTCAAAAAATCAATTTTTTTCTCAGCTAGAAGACGAATCCAATAAGCTCTTATTCGTATTTTCACATAAACAAAAAAACTATACTCATTTCCTACAGAGAACTCACTTCTCGACTAGTATGCATTATTGTGAATGATACTACTGTAGAATGAGAACCTCTACTCTATAGGATAGTCCCAAAGTTTAGCAATAGATGGCCTCAGATTTCTGGTCAAATTCTTGTCAAATTCTGGCCACAGTCTGGCTCAAGTCTTGCCCAATAATCTTGGCCAAGAATCCGGAACAATTCTTGTACAATTCTTGAGCAAAAATCTGTCCAAAGTATCTTGACCCATGCTGGGCTAAGACTTTTCCGGAATTGCTACTTGGCCAATATTTTGTAAAAATGTATTTAACATTTTTTCTGTTAAAATTTACGAAGATATTCATGTGTAATGTCATCCTTTAAGGCAATCAAGGAGGCCAATGGAACGGAAACAACGGAGGCCAATGGAACAACGGCGGCTCATGGAACCAAGGCGGATGGAACGGGGGGCAAAACAACCCAGGCGCTTACAACCCACAAGCCCCACCAGCCGGTTTGGGCCAAATCCCAGCCGGAGTGAACCCACAATCTTGCCCCAACTATCCATTCTGTCATTAAGTTCCGCATAATACAAATCAAAAGCCAGCTGACAACATGTTGTTTAAAGTAACATTAAATGAATAATGAATAATTAAATATAAATTATTATTGGAAATAGCTCAAACTAGCTGTGTTCATCGCAACGTTGCGAAAGTTATGTAATGTTATGTAATGTAATTTAAATTTTATTTAAAATAAAACATTTTTTAAATGTTAGAATGGCCATTTATTATTAAACCTGATTATTTCCCTCATTATAATATGAACCAATCAAAAGCCTTGAATTTTCGAATAAATTTCGTTTAAATAAGCAATTAAATCACTAGAACTATTTAACAGCGATTAAATTTTAGCCTCCATATTGGATTTTTGTTTACGATTTTATGGTGTTATTTACAAGTTTTAACAAACATTTTTTAAAAAAACAATAAAAAATAAGTTATCTAGTTTACGAAATATTAATTATTACTTATTACATACCCTTAAATTAATGGAATTTTCATTAAAAAAATATTTATAAATTTTGACACATACGTCAGATTTTATGAATTGTCAAATAGTTTCCTTTAATTCGAGAAATAATCTAGACGTATATCACTCAACCTATAAATTTAATCTGTCAAACTATGCTCAGTAAGTTTTTTATTTGATTTTTCTTTTTGGAAAATAGTTTCATGCAAAATAATTAAAAATAAAACCCCTCGACCGCTACGCGGTCTCGTGATTTTATTACATTATTTTGCATTCAACATTTTCCAACAAAAACCAAACAAAAAACTACTGAGTCTAGTTTAACCGATTAAATTCATAGTTCTCGTGATATAATATCTGGACCACAATCCACAAATGTGTGGATTGTGATCTGGACATTTATACACAGCCCGGCAACATTGCATTAAGGTAAAATCTGGCAACATTGGGTTATTTTAACTACTTATTTGAAGTTCAAATTTTGAACAACTACTTTAAACTATTGCATTTTTAACAGAATAATTAGTTATTTTTTTGTTAAAAATGATTAATTTAATAAGGTAAAATTATGTTTTTATCCTACTATATTTTCCAGAATATTATTACATACATTTAAATTATCATAGCAATCTTTGTTCTGTGCATTTCATGTCAAATACATATAACCTAACATATTTAATTGTCATATTGCATTCAAACAAGACTTTTACTAATTTTATGTAAATTACCGCCAAATTTTAAACTTCCCTCCAAACCCAGAAAAAAATCCCGCCATTTAGGCTTCGCATATAAATTCGTGTTTCCCGCAAAATTCGACAGTTGATTATATTCGGTGGTTGACTATAACCTACGTTTCGTATTTCTGTTATTCGTAACCTACTTTAAACCAAAGAAAAATGGGTATTAATCCTGCTACACCAACCAAAATGGTATTAAAATTTACTAAAACCGTGCCACATGCTTTACCACCAACAAAAGGTTCCATAAAAGCTGCTGGGTATGACCTAAAAAGCGCCTTAAAATGCGTGGTGCCTGCTAGAGGAAAAATGATGGTAGATACAGGAATAAAAGTCGAGTTACCAGAGGGTTGCTACGGCAGGATTGCCCCGCGCTCTGGACTTGCAGCTAAAAATTTTATTGATGTCGGGGGTACGTTTTTTTTAAAATTGTGTATAACATTTAATAATTTGATGATTTCTTGTTTCAGCCGGGGTTGTAGATGAGGACTATAGGGGTGTTATAAAGGTGATATTATTTAACCACTCCGATGAAGATTTTCCAGTAAATATCGGTGATAGGATTGCACAATTAATCTGTGAACGAATCTTTTACCCTGAACTGGAAGAAGTTAAAGTAATACTTTATTTATTTAGTTATTTAGGTATTTTATATGAAATATTTTTACAGGATCTCACTGACACCGAAAGGGGGGAAGGTGGATTTGGATCGACAGGAAAGAACTAAGAAAATGTTCCTTTGTATTATTTATGTTACTTAAAGCAATTTGGCTGTTTTTAGTTTGTAATATCGGATATTATATATCCATTCTATAATTTTATTTCGTTAATAAATTTTGTATCAAAATAATTTTGAATTTTATTTTGACCTCTAAATTGACGCATGCGCCACCAGAGGTTATTAATCTATGTGCGCGGCGTTGCCATTTAATTCATTTACAAAATGAGTGACGAAGTGCAACTTGCACAAACCGCTGAAGCCGGTGAAGATACAATTTTCGGGAAAATATTGAGAAAAGAAATACCATGCAACTTTATTTACGAAGATAATTTAGTAAGTGTTCCATGAATTCGTTATTTTGATAATTTGCATAAACCAAAATTTTGAGGTTAACTTTTTCTTATCATTTTTTAATTAACTACAACAAAATTATTTCATAGTATTTCATGTTAAAATTACAGAATAAATTGATAAAAAACATTAAAAGTTTTCACAGATACAAAAAACTTTTCCTAAAGAGTGCAAAGTAATTTTATTTAAAGTTGACATTTAAGTAAATATTTAATTATTTCTTATCAGATTTTATGATCGTTATATATAGCTTAAGTTGACATTCTAAAAATGAAACCCAAGCTCTTCTTTGTGCTTAAGCTAGTAAAATGTTACTTTTAATTTTAAAATAAAATTTGTAGTGTGTTGCATTTGATGATATAAGCCCCCAAGCTCCAGTCCATTTTTTGGTGATACCAAGAAAGCCAATATCACAACTTTCCAAAGCCGATGATGGTGATGAAGCTTTGCTAGGGCATTTACTGATTGTTGCAAAAAAAATAGCCCAGAAAAGAAACTTAAAAAATGGTTTTCGTATTGTGATCAATGATGGAACAATCGGAGCACAGTCTGTTTATCATTTACATGTGCATGTTTTGTCTGGTAGACAGCTCCAATGGCCACCAGGCTAATAATACTAATAATTACTAATTGGAATATTTAATAAATGGTAAAACTTATAAACTTTTTATTTATCTATCTTTTTATTTCATTATTTGCCCAACATTTGATTTTATTTTATTTAATGCTGCTCAAATAGACGACAAATACTGTCATACTGTCATATTATGACAGTGAGGCGTATTTGTCGTCTCCTGAAAAATTTTACGAATGTAGAATACAACATATTAGAATGTGGGTATCTGACATATTTGGAAATATTCTCAAAAGCTTCCTATAGGAAGCTTCTATAGAAGCTCCATAAGAAACTTTTTAGAACATTCCAAAAACGTAGTCTTAAAATGTTCTTAGGATGCTTTTTAGGAAGGTTTTAAGAAGCTTTTAAGAATCTAATGGCATCATTAAAAGGGTATCTATTGAATGTTTTAAAAGTCCCTTTTGAACCTTTTAAATTTTAGTAATATAATTAAAAATATACATTTATTAATTAATGCAAATAAGGATAAGCTCAAACTAATAAATATATATTAATGTAGTAAATTTATTCCTCTACCAAATGGATTTATATTTACAATAAAAAATATTGTTTAAAACTAATATTCCAATACTAAAAAAATAAAAAAATGTATAAATTTCATATGCAAATTACCAAAGCATGTTTATTTGCAATAATTATAATAAAGTTAACTTTATATTTAATTATTTATTTTTATATTTAGAAGTGCTCTTAATTCTCCTGATAATTAATATGAATAAATTAAACTAAAAGTCCAATATTTTTTATTAGTAAATTTCATCAAATATATATTTTAAAATTTTCTTAAATTACATTAACATTGCTGTAAGTTTTTTTTGGAAACCTTACTGTATAACTAAAACTACCCCATTGTGAAAATTCCATGGTGAAATAAAACAGTATAATCAGTTAACGGTTATATATTTTTGAAAAGTAAAATACATTTAATTTGGTAATTGCCTTATACAAACTATAACTATACAAATTATGAAAATGTTGTAGTACAAATAGACAATACACACGCTTGTAAAGAACTTAAAATAGTTAAGCAATAGGTAAACAAATGCACAAAAATTCGAAAAAAAGGAAAACCAGTAAAAATCACAATTTTTATAGATAGAAAAATGAGAAATTTCAAAGTCATTAAATTTATAAAAATCATTATGCCCAGGTACTATAGTTATTATTATGATACTTCGAAAATACTAAAAATAATTAACAAAAAAAATCACTACTGACTTTACATCTATAGAAAAGTGCATGGCTCTAGTTTAATAATTAAATATAACACTGGACAAAAGTTAATATATTGAAATAAAAAAAAATTATGAAGTCGATTTTTAAGGGTTTTGTTTTGTTGTCAAAAACTGGTTGGAAAATAATTTTTTTATTGAAGTAGCAAAGATATTTAATTTTGTTGCCCAGTGTAATAATCAAAGCAAATATTTATTACCATAAATGCTACACAAAACCAAGATTAACTATTAAATGATAACATTCACAAAATTTTGAATGTCAATTGTTTTAAAACAATCAAATTTGTCGTTACTGCTGCAAACACAATTTTATAATACTCAATCCATGGGAATTATTTCACACACATATTTATAATATTTAGTTTTTATTAATATGTAGTTGGAGTAAGTACTTTTGTACTTAGTAAAGGGTATTTTTCTGTTGCAAAAAAATTCTCTGAAGCCATTAATAATAAACTTTAATTGCTTAGGAGAACATACAACAACTAAAAATCCCCTTAAAACTACTATTTTTCAACTGCAGAACAAATTTGACTTCAATCAAATATTTACAATTCTTAATTTTGTTTAACATATACATGCATTACAAGCTAAATTTATCACTTATGTTCGTATACTAAAATAATTCTATGATCTTTTTAATCCCATATAAGTACAACTTGTCTCAGTATAGGTATCTAAAACCTAACAAAACATGTACTTGAGTTTTATTTTTACTGTGTAAACATTATCTGTAATCTATTGTAATTTGCAATTAGTTACAAAATTAAATTATTTTGTTGTATTATAAAAATATTAAACTTTTTTGTTCAAAATATGTTTTCCTACTGTTTTGTAACTATTACATAACCTTATATTATTGCTTGTTTTTATTGAATGAAATGATTCAAAAAGTCTGAACTACCTAAAATTAAAAAACTTGTTTGGCACTGCATAATTTTAATGCAAATTTCAATACATGTAAATAAAATAAAAAATGTGATTTAAATGTATGTGACGTCATAAATTGCGATTGGAGGTAGTTTTTTTGTTTTTAAATTTATAAATTCTATTATATTATAATAAAAAAGACAATAAACAATAAAAATTTGTAGTACTTTTAAAAATTCATACACAATAAATAAATAAAAGGTTTTAGTTTTATGCTTAAAAAATTAATGCAAGGATAAAGTTGTTTAAAAACCATGAAAACCAGCTTCAAGTTTTAAGTATCAAAAAGTTCATAAATTAACTTTTGAAACTACTTTTTACTTTAAAAAGTGTGTGGTAAGACTAAGAGCATATGGCTTTATATTACTAATACTGAAATGTATATATTCCAGTATTAGTGGCTATGAAACTTAAGAGAATTAAATATTATTACTATGTCTGTGTATAATAAATATTTTTGAGATATTAATGTAAAAAATACAATTTATAAAATAAAAAGTTTCAAAAGTTTATTTAAACTGCCCAACCTGATATACAAAATATATCTGCCTCAGTAAACCAACATGCCTAAAATTTGCAACACTAACAACATCAACATCTTTTTTCTTTTCAACTGAGAAGTAAAAAATAAATTTAAAAAAATTTAAAATAAATCATCTTGTAAAGCTAAATAGTAACTACAAGTAAAAAATTTTGTTGTACAATATCACCTGGTTAAACTTTTTTCTTTTGTATGTTTTCATTTAAATATGGCACTATTCTCATAGGTAATACAAAATCAAACACAGTGAGTACAATTTTTGTAATGTAATGCTTACATTAGGTTTGTCATTATTCTCACGGATTTAGTTTGCCCTACACAGTGGTCAAAACTTAAGTATAGGACGAACAAAAATGCCAACCAAAACTGATAGCATATTTTGAATATAGACCCTTTTGGTAACACTAACATGTATTTATCAAAATCCCAGCTGATCCTATTTTAAAGTTTTTCTATATAGTATTTTGCAATTATTGAACTAAAATTACCTGTACAATTTTAATAAAATTAAGCAAAATAATAAACTTTGTATCATTTAAATAACTTTACTCCCCAGTATTAATTTATTGAGTCACCTATTATTTTTTACCACTCAACACAAAACATAACAAAAAAAAACGAAGATTAATAATATCTTAAATATTTTTTATAACAAAAAATACTGGAAGTTTGTCTATGAAATAATTACAACTTGCAAATTTTGTAAAACAATAATTAAGGTGGTTATGAAAAAAATTGCTATACGTTATAACGCAAGTGACATTTTGCTTTAGTTGTTTCTTTAATGTATACTTTATGAAGTTAAAAATAGTATTTTAAAATGAAAATTAAACCGAAATTCAAGTTAAGCCTTGAAGAAAATCGAAAGAAGGTATGTGCTGCCTGTGGAGACAAAATTGTTTTTGGTAATCGAAAAATTCAGAGTTTAGGGTTTCTGAGAAAATATACAAATTACTGCAGACTTTTTCAAACGAACACTTTAACTTAAGTAATTCAAAATTACCTACTTCAATATGGTAAAAACGGTATTTTTGCATAGCCACAATTGCCAAATTTTCAAAATTTAGAAATTGCTAGAGAATTTCGCGGCAGCCAAGAATGTATGTGCTTTATCTGCAAAATGGCAAGATATAAAGGGCATAAAAAATTATTAAGGGAAGAGGACGGACGAACGAAATAAAGTTTTGATATGCTCTTCCTTTCTAGGGGATATCGCTAGATGTAAGAAGCATGTTTGTACAGAGACTGAAGAATTTAAAAATACTGTTTCCATGTTGAAAACAATTCCATGTAAAACCCAAGAGAAAGTTTTACTGAAAATTTAAGGCAAGCAGTAATCGATTTTGCTTCAAAGAATCTTTAGTTATTTATTAGTTTTATATTAGGTACCTTAAAACAATAAATAAGATATTGCAAACTGTATTTTACATTATTTTGTATTTATAATGTAATTTATCCATATTTTCAGTCATGTATCTGCCAAATTTTTAAAATCATTTGATAATGGTACTAGAGTATTTTATCGAAATGGCATAGTTTTAAAATACTAAGAAATATGCAAAACTTTAATAAGGATCAGCTGGGATTTTGATAAATACATTTAGTACCTATACAAGAGTCTATAATCAGATTATGCTATCAGTTTTGGTTGGCATTTTTGTTTCTTCCTATACTTTAGTTTTGACCACCGTGCCTACTGCTGGAACAAACCTAGTTTTTTTTCTTTATTTTGACAAGAGGATAGTGCCCAAAAAACCGTCAGGGTGTTAGAAAGTATTTCCTAACAGTAGCTAATATGCCCCTTAAAAACAAAATGAAGTAGTACGTAGTGTTCAGTTTTGTATAATAGAGCTGAGTTGTGAAGCTTAAAAATAAAACTTAGGACATGGAGCTGCACGGAAGGCGGGGCGAGCCCATTTGAGTGAGGACCCGGTCCAGCCATTGCAAAGGGCCGTTCAAATGTAACTCGATCCAGCAGGGAGTCGACGTGACCGTTTGACGCCTGAAAATAATATTTAATGACACAATTTTGTGTAAGAAAAAATACACTCACAGGCAAAATAATCGATCCACACAAATTTTCGATGAATTTCAATCGCAAATAACTTGTTTATTTGATGTCGGATTTAAACGAATATTAAAAATATTGTAGATAAATTAATAGAAAATTGCTCACATTTTAAAAAATTACTAAAAAATACACGTATGTTTATAATATACAGGTTTAAACAAAAACCGTATATTGTTCTAAATTAAGTTTTAATTATCAAGTCACATCTATTTTTAACAGTTTTGTTTTGATATATTTATTTTTGTGGAAAATATGGATTTTTTTTTAAAATCATTGCAATTTCCAATATTTTTCCTGTATGAAGAACTAAGGTTGCTATGGTCCATCCAATGCCTACGGAGGATGACAGTGACAGTTTTGTTGAATCATCCCATACTTGGACATGTCATTTATAGCTTTCAAAAGCTATCAAATTGTTTTATTGTAAATTAATGTGTTAATTTAGAGGTGTCTTCTTACTTTTAAAAATGTCTCCGACTGATGTTGCCCCTTGTACTTAACTTCTTGGACGTTTAAAACACTTGCCACATAATACTGTGACCGTCCATCCTGGATTAAATTAATGGCTCTGGCAACATCAGTCGGGGACATATCCATTTTTTAAAGTGAGAAGACACCTCAAAATTTAAACATTAATTTGCAAAAAATAATTTGATAGCTTTTGAAAGCCATGTATAACATGTCCAAGTATGGGATGATTCAACAAAACTGTCACTGTCATTCTCCATAGCATATGGGTGGACCATAGCAACCTTAGTTCTTCATTCAGAAAAATATTGGAAATTGCAATATTTTTTTAAAAAATCCATATTTTCCACAAAAATAAATATATCAAGGTGAACCAAACACAAAACTGTTAAGAATAGATGTGACTTGATAAATAAAACTTAATTTAGAACAATATACAGTTTTGCCACTCTACAGAGTGTCTTAAACTTATGGTAAAAAACATATTTTTGTTTAAACCTGTATATTATAAACGTACGTCTATTTTTTAGTAATTTTAAAAATGTGAGCGATTGTCCATTAATTTATCTACAATATTCTTTAATATTCGTTTAAATCCGACATCAAATAAAAAAGTTATTTGCGATTGAAATTCATCGAAAATTTGTGTGGATCGATTATTTTGCCTGTGAGTGTATATGACCAAAGATAATACATTATCATTATTATCATTATTATCTTTGTATATGACTACTGGCTAAAAACGTTGCAATAGTAAAATACAATGGTGGTTTATTCTGCATTTGGTTGTAAAAGTTATATAAGTTATAGTGACAAGAAAGAGACTGGAATAGCCTTGGACAGGTAAAAATCTATATTATTAACAGAGATGGGATTTTAAGTTGCAAAATTTATAAAAATAGGTAGGTACCCTAAATAGGCAAAGTTTTTTTGTTTTAGGTGATAATATTCTTAAATTAGGAAAATAAGTACTGGACAGGAACTTTTAGGTGGTGATATTATTTAATTTATTATTGTATAAAATTTTATTGAACAAGATTTTTATGATTTGAAAATACCTGACAGATAATAAAACATGATAAAAAGAGATCGATTTCAAGGACCAACCAGCTCACATTACCAATCCGATTGCGAAAATTGAATAAAAAACAAAAATATGTGAGTAAAAAAACCAAAAAATTACTTAGGTTCCCAGGCCTTGGGAAAAATTGATTTTTTGGAAAATTCAAAAATACACACATTTTAATAAAAGAAGCATTTCTTATCTTATTTTTAATAAATGCTTTATTTTTCTTAGTAATGCCGTTCTTAACTTTTTTAAATCCAATTTTTTCTAAAAAAAATATTTTTTCCGCACCTTGAAGAAAAAAAACGAGCCTTTAAAACACTACCAGCATTTTAAACGAAAAAATTAGGAGTACATTTTTCTGAAAATTATCTAATTCGAAACAAATACAATTTTTTTTTAATTTTACGCCAAAAGCGTTTTTTTTTGCCGGCTCAATTTTTTCGTAAATTTTATTAGACTACTAAGAAGTAATGAACACTGCACAATAGACTGGGCAGTATATCGAAAATATGGTTTGGGGTTACATTAACACGTTAACGGCCACGTCGGTCCCAGGGGACCGCTAATACTTTTTCCATCCAGGCCACGGCGGTTCCTAGGGACCGCCTGTCAATTTTTTGTTTAACAGTTTAACATGATTTTCTGGCCAGCGGACCGCTCGTATAAGGTATTTTAAAGCATGCATAGGACCGCTTGGCCCTGATGGCTGACGAAGATACAAGAGTTTTTTAATTATTTATTTTTTAATCTGTATTTTGACGATTTTATTTTTTAAAATGATACAAGTAAAATAACACCTTGGCCCAATAAACAAAATCACCAATAACGCCGTAGCGTTTAACGTGTTAAAAAATTATTTTGAAAGTTTGAGTCCATAATATTAATATTAAGAGGTCTATCATCGCAATTTTAATTTTTTTTTCCTCAGCAAGTTTTTGTCTCAGAACTCCCAAACCATTGAATTTAACAAAATTGACTCGAAAATATTTTTTTAAGAAAATTAAATGCTCTACAAAAAAGGTTAAAGTGAAATTTTCCGTCAGATGAACCGTTTCCTTAAAATCATGCCTTAAAAATTGGTATAGTTTTACATTTTGATCTTTTAAATTGGAATTTTGTAATTCATGTAAAAATCAGTACCCATAAAAAACCGATAAATACTCTTATGGGAAATCAAATGCTTTACAAAAAAAGCCTCCCAACAATTTTGGCTAAATTTACTCAATCAAAAGTTATTCAAGGTTAGAATTTCATTTTGACTTCAAATTTAACCTTGAATAACTTTTGATGAGTGAATTTAGCCAAAAATGATAAAAGACTTTTTTTGTAGAGCATTTGATTTCCCATATGAATGTTTATCGTTTTTTTTTCAGGGTACTGATTTTTACAGGAATTACAAAATTCCAAAGTTAAAAGATCAAATTGTAAAACTATACCAATTTTTAAGGCATAATTGTAAGAAAACGGTTCATCTGACGGGAAATTCCAATCAAACCTTTTTTGTAGAGCATTCAATTTTCTTCAAAAAATATTCCCAAGTCAATTATGTTAAACTCGATGATTTGGGAGTTTTGAGACAAAAACTCGCTCAGGAAAAAAAAATCTAAAATTGCGATAATAGACCTCTTAATATTAATATTATGGACTCAAACTTTCACCATTTTTTTTTTGTCACCCCAAACAATATTTTCGATATACCTTTGGCCCAGTCTACTGCACAAGAGAGATAATAACAATTAAATTAAGAAATTATTGTAAAAGTTAGTAATAAATTTATTGAACATACCTGTATTCAGCACCCCATCCCTTAACAAAGGACATCCTAATCGTACACATCCTGGTGAGCTGGTAGACAGCCTCAAAACCTTGACTAACCGACTGCGACAGCAGAGCAGCGAACTCTTGATTGTTGAAAATTTTCAAGTTGCAACCTGAAAACCGACAAAAAAATTGTCACCCTGCGCACAATTTACCTCTTGGAGAACTCCTTACCTGGAGGTATTTTGCATACAGTGGCAGGATGCCAGCCGTATCTTTGGTTGCAATTCGGCGACTGCACGAATATGCTCGAATCGCTCAGACACTCTGCGAAAACTTCTCCACCTGACAAAAAGAGTTAAAGAGCGCGTTTTAGCGTGTGCCTTGGGTTAGTTTCAAGTTCGATATCACCTCACCTATATAATACAGTCTTACTCCCTTTCCTATGTGCCTTCTGGTCTGCTCGACGACCGAATTACGGTTCACGTTCGACAGAAGACCCAAGCAAAATCTTAAATAAAAATTAAATCAAAAAATAGAACAATGTTGCATGTTGATTAATGGAAACAACAATATTGAATCCAGATTTTTGTATTTAGCAAAAACTTTGGGTACTTCCCCTGAAATCGTCACACTTTACAGCGCTTTTATAAAAAAAATTAAAATTGGCGCGAGAAAAAAAGCTAAGTACTAACAACTGCTCTTTAAAATAGTAACCGACAATATATATCAATGAATTCATGGAAACATAATATTATACATAATACAGAATATAATACCCGTTTTTGTTTTTTACCGTTGAGTGGAGAATTTCTCAATCAAGGCTTTTAATAGTGCATAACGCTGTTTGAATTTAGATAACTTATTTGTTTTATGATTTTAATAACTGAAATGAAATGTTTACAATTTTCACATAAATCATTACTAATATGTGTATTTATTGTATCTAATACGCTAAAGAAGTTTTCGCAACCCGCGCGCTATCTGGTGGACTTCAAAAGAATTGCGTGAATTTAAGAATTGTCAACAATACATTTAAAGCATACGAACTGTACATCATTTTTAAATAAATAGGTAGTTTTTTCACAAAAGAGAGGAAGGCAGAAGTCTTACTCGACAAATTTTGTTCAATTGCACAGCTAAATAGCACACGTTATTTGTGTTTTACGTTACAAGGAAAAAACTAAAAAATGTTTTAGTACTTTATTTCGATTGATTATTCTTTATATCATTGATTAAGAAACTCAACGCCTTAATGCTTATATAGTTACGTTAGTGTGTGTATTTTATCTAAAGGATCATGGTGAATTATTGTATTTTTAATTGTAAATGAAATTCAAAAACTAAATCGTTGCATTTTCATGTTTTGCCAAAGGATCCAATTCGGTAAGTACATTTGTTGGTGCAGAATTAACTAATAATAACTTTACCTAATATAATTTATATTTAAGTTTGGACATTTTTAAGAAATTAGTAAAAAATAATTTTTGCATAAACATAACCTTAAAATCAACGATTTTTATATTTGAGTTCTCTAAAAAACGCCGACAACTGCATTTTAAACAACAAAATATACCTACGAATTCATGGCAACATAATATTTTATATAATAAATAATATAATGGTATTTTACCGTTGAGTGGAGACTTTAAAGAATTCTTAATCAACGCTTTTAATAATGCTAAATGCTGTTTAAATTTAGACGACTTATTTGTTTGACGATTTTTACTGAATTGAAATGTTTACACTTTTCACGTTAATCACTACTAAAATGTGTATTTATTGTATCTAATAGATACAATTCATTCGGATTAATACTGTTTATTGAAAAACTCAACCCAAGATTTCTTGAAATACACCCAACAACACAACAAATCGTGCCACGGTTTTTTTTTTCGATATTCGACAGCTGATTATCAAAAGTTTTACTTTTGTTACAATGATAACAGCCGAGTGGTGGCGCTACTAGCGATACTTCTTTAGCGTATAGTTCCACATTTTTCCCCGATATTTTTAACATTTTTCAGCTGCGAAATGTCACAAAATTTTTTATATGGTTTTATTTATTTTAAAAATGTTTCCTGGTAATATTTTAAGAAGTGTAAAAGTGACCGAATTTAAAACCAATATACCTAGTAAAAAATTAAATTAAAAAATCCTGTAAATAATTGTACAATATATGATGTTATTTTCTTACCTTTCTGAGTTACTTGGATCTGTGAATCCATCGACAGTTATAGAGGGTTGGCTTGCGTGAAAAGTTTCGCCTACCCGCGTATTGAGCTCGTAATAGCTGATGCTGCACCAAAACGCTGGCTCGCAATACAATACTGGCTGGGCATCGACTGGCGGACTCGGTGGAGACATACCTTAATGCAAAAATAACAATAAACTTACTGCGTTATATTATTATTTTATTACAAAAAGGACTTAGTGGGATTTAAAACTTGTTTTTGCAATACAAATTTGATTACAACAAATATGTAGGTACCTCATTGAGATAAAATATTCTATTTTAATGAGACCTATGTTGTAATTGAATTTTTATTGAAATAGCATTGTGAGAATTCAATAATTGTCAACAGTACATTTAAAGCATACAAACTGGAATTCATTTTTAAATAAAGAAATAGTTTTTCACAAAAAAAAGTCTTACTCGACAAATTTTGTTCGCAAAGTTTCAATTGCACATCTAAATCGCGCTCGTTATTTGTGTTTCGCGTTGCAAGTATAAACTGAAAAACTTTGGTTTTGTACTCGATTTTGATTTATTATTTCTTATATCTTATATCAACGCTTATATGGGTATATTTCAAAAAGTTGGCCTCTTGCTGTCCTGAGGTTAGAACTTAATATTTTCATAACTAAAATGAAATGTGAAGAATAGATCTGATAAAACAATCCTTAGGCTCTTTAAATTATGTACAAAATCTCCCAATAAGGTATTGAAAATGTATTAAAATTACCTTGAAATATAGTAAATGTCCAATCCGTGACTGTCCCCAGCAAAGATTTATTAACTTTACTGACAGCTGGAAAAATATTGTTTCTGCAGTCATAAGTATAATATTTTTTATTTAATTTTTAGAAGTGTATACAATTATTAATTAATTTTTGTTTAAAAAAGAACCTAAAATATTTTTGTGACAAGCATTTTAGTTGATGTCCCTTAATTTGAAATGTCCAATCCGTGATGCCATTTTCACACAATATAATATTCAAAACTCGGCAACGCTTTCTCAACAAGGTAAAATATCTATTGTAGTTTGTAGTACCTGTCAAAGTTAAACAAGTTGAGTAAATTATTTTATGTTTATAGGTGTGTACAATTATTAGAAGTCTTTTCTGTGATACTTGCAGTTTATCCTAAAGCTAAAGATCGCTAAACATGTGCTTGCGTCAAACATGAAAATGTTGGTTTTATCACCCAAAAACTATATTCGGGAAAATTTTAAACAGACAGAATGAAGATGAAATCGTTAAAGGAAATTTTCAAATTAATCTCAAAAAATAATAAGAGACTGATATTTTAAATGTAAAAGAGTAGAAAATAATCATAGAAGAGACGATAATAAAAAATGTAAATAAAAAAATTTAATTAATATTTGTAATGCCCTTTATTTGGGCGTCACGAAAAAGACAACATTTATTCTTCCTACAATGAAAATTCGTAAAAAAAATAAAATCTAGTTCGTATCATGTATGACAAGCATAAAATATTCAATACTTGATTAATATTCTATAGAAATAATATGTAATATATTTAATTTATAATAATTATATATTTTTTAATGAAATTCCTATTTTGGCAAACTTTTTGAAAAATACCCATATGCTTATATAGTTACGTTAATGTGTGTATTTTATCTATCGGATCATGGTGAATTATTGTGATTTTAATGTTAAATGTAATTTAAGAACTAAATTGTTGCATTTTCATGTTTTGCCAAAGGATCCAATTCGGTACGTATATTTGTTGGTGCAGAATTAACTAATGATAACTTTACCTAATATAGTTTATGTTTAAGTTTGTACTACTTGTAATAGTTGTAGAACCATAACCTTAAAATCAAATATTTGAGTCCTCTAAAAAAACGCCAACAACTGCATTTTAAAATGATAAATGGCAAAATTTATCTACGAATTCATGGCAACATAATTTTATGTATAATACATAATATAATACCCGTTTTTGGTATTTTACCGTTGAGTGGAAACTTTCTCAATCAATGCTTTTAATAATGCAAAATGCTGTTTAAATTTAGACGATTTATTTGTTTTATGATTTTTACTGAATTGAAATGTTTACAATTTTCACGTAAATCATTACTAAAATGTATATTCATTGTATCTAATAGGTACAATTAATATTTACAGGGACTGTATGTAATTTATTTCTTCATTCGGATTCACTGTTTATTGTAAAACCCGGAAAAAACTCAACCAAGGCAGCACAAAATTTGAAATGACAATTTTAAAAAGTTTAATAACAAATTTTTGACATCTTAACAATGTTGTAATCAAGTTTTTATGGCAAAAATGAGTTTTAAAGCTTTAAAAGTCGTTTTGTGGAAAATATTAATTTTATAATAGAATATTTATATTAAAAAATTACCTAGTTTCAATTTTATCGTAAAAATGTTTTTACAAAGTAGGTATAATTATAAAATTACTTTTTTAATTAAAAAATGTGAGAATATATCGACTATTTTACAAATTCACAAAATTAAGGAAAATTTGTGAATGAGTAATAAATTTGCTTCACAAAATTACTCCGCAAAAATTTAATTTTTTTTGTACTTACTCATATTGTCGTTGGGGTCAATGGGGTCACCATCTTCTGACATGTAACCTGGAGGGGGGGTTTCTGTGGGGGGCAGGACGCTGTGGGGCGATTCCATGCTTGTGGGGGCGCCGTTCTGGCATATTCCTACATCGTCAAGGTAACCTGTGTGTTGCATATGTAAACTAAAAAAAAACATTAAAAAAGTTGTATTGGTAAAATATTAAAAGCTGAAGGAAAAATTAGTTTTTCATAGTAAAATTATAATATACTACCTATTGATTGATTGTAGTATAGTATATTAAAGTTTCCTTCAGTTTAAACTTATAAGTAGGTACTTTTAAATTATATTTTATTTACCCTAAAGAATTTGTGTTGTGTGGAAACGACGTGTTTTCCGGTACAGAGGTGCTCAAGTCCTCCAAAGAATGTGGAAAAAGGTTGTTTTCGTCACCCAGTGTGTGACGAGGTACAAGAATAGCAGGTAACGCTAAAAAATATTAATTATTAGGGTTACACAAACTTAAATATTAGGAAAATTAAATTTAAAAAATAATAATGTCGGTTGTAGAGGGCGCTGTCTGCGACATTTTGCATACGTTTAAATGGTCATTTTTTGCAGGAATTGTATACTGTAAATGTTTATATCATTGTAAGAATTATATTTAATTTAACAAAAAATTAGAACATTCCAAAAGTGTTTTACCATTCCTTTGACATCCTATAAATATAATATTATGTCCTTGGCATTTTTAATTGGAATGCCATACCCTGTTTTTAAACATTGTTATCAATTTGTTATTATTACACAGTGCAACACAAAATGTTAAACCAGATTAAATTGTTTTTTTCTGAAAGTAGGTATACCTAGTATACCTAGTAAAACCCTCGCTGGTTTGGTAAAAGTTAGCCCGAATTTTGTTTGTATGGTCATGAAAGTTTTTGAGTTCTAATTGTAAATTTGAAATGTAATATTTTAGCAATTGATGCAATCAAATTTAGTTTTAAGGGTCAAATATTCAAAAAATTGCAATTTTTATTTTTTCTTTAGCCTAACTCACTTAATATTCACTTCATATCTAATTTTTTTAGCAGAAATTTGGTTTGAAGTGTAAGCTGGCCAAACTAGCATTCCAATTGCCAACTTAGTGATTTTTTCCTAGTTCTAATGATTTTTTACGACTCGAAATTTTTAAAACATTCATTTTAAGATTTTGTTTTATTTGTGTTGTCTTTTATATTTATAACATTTTAATTTATACAATATTAGTACTGTTTGTTTCATTAGTTTAGTAATTTAAATAAAAACATTTTTATTTATAGTCTTTTGTTTAACTATTGTTAATATTAAGAAATTCTAGGGATGTTTAAACCAAGTTTGGGGATTTTTAATGCGATCATGTTGCATAAAACCATAAAATAATTAAAAAAACAACAAAGTTAGATTTTCATTTTTTTATTGTTGTAACTAGAAAGATTACAAAAATAGAATAAAAATTGAACTACCTATTAAGTTAAATAAAAAAATATTGACGTTTGATCACGCAAGTAATACAGGGTGATCCCCTATAATATCGCCCCCCTTTAACTTTTTTATTAAAAGTGTGGTTATGTAGGTACTAAAAAATACTTTTTTTCTACGTATAAAAAAAAATTAAAAAATGATCAATGTACAGGGTGATCCCCTATAATGTCGCCCCCCTTTAACTTTTTTATTTTAAGGGTCCCAAAAAATTTAAAAGTTTGGTTATGTAGGAACTAAAAAATACTTTTTTTCTACCTATAAAGAAAATTGGAAAATTGATCAGTATACAGGGAAAAACAAAAAGTTTATTTTTTTTCAATGGATCACCCTATATATGAATTTATTTTTCGATTCCTTGTAAAATTCTGAGCATAATTCATATAACAAACCATATACCTAAATTCAACTGTTTCTGAAATATTCGCATTCGAAATGTTATCATTAAATGTTTTTTTAAACGGTTAGAAATCAAGAAGCCTCAGTATACCAAAATTTTTATTGAAAATAAATTACTATAGTGACATTATGTCAATATGTCTTGTTAAATAAGTAAAAATGGCGTACTCAGACAGAGAAAGACAAACTATTTCATTTTATTATCTTAAAAATAATTTAAATATTTCAGAAACGGTTGAATTTAGGTATATGGTATGTTATATGAAATATGCTTAGAATTTTACAAGGAATCGAAAAATAAATACATATATAGGGTGATCCATTGAAAAAAAATAAACTTTTTGTTTTTCCCTGTATACTGATCAATTTTCCAATTTTCTTTATAAGTAGAAAAAAAGTATTTTTTAGTTCCTACATAACCACACTTTTAAATTTTTTGGGACCCTTAAAATAAAAAAGTTAAAGGGGGGCGACATTATAGGGGATCACCCTGTACAGGGAAAAACAAAAAGTTTATTTTTTTTCAATGGATCACCCTATATATGAATTTATTTTTAGATTCCTTGTAAAATTCTGAGCATAATTCATATAACAAACCATATACCTAAATTCAACCGTTTCTGAAATATTCGCATTCGAAATGTTATCATTAAATGTTTTTTTACACTGTTAGAAATCAAGAAGCCTCAGTATACCAAAATTTTTATTGAAAATTAATTACTATAATGACACTATGTCAATATGTCTTGTTAAATAAGTAAAAATGTCGTAGGTACTCAGAAAGAGAAAGACAAACTATTTCAACTATCTTAAAAATAATTTAAATATTTCAGAAATGGTTGAGTTTAGTTTACTTATATGAAATATGCTTAGAATTTTATAAGGAATCGAAAAATAAATACATATATAGGGTGATCCATTGAACAAAAATAAACTTTTTGTTTTTCCCTGTATACTGATCAATTTTCCAATTTTCTTTAAACGTAGAAAAAAAGTATTTTTTAGTTCCTACATAACCACACTTTTTAAATTTTTTGGGACACTTAAAATAAAAAAGTTCAAGGGGGGCGACATTATAGGGGATCACCCTGTACATAGGCGACTTAAAATTATAAAAAAGGCAATATTTAGAACATTGAACTCAAAAAGTTATTTTTTTTAAAACAAAAAATATTAATTTTTAAGAGGAATTTTTTTTAAACAAAAATTAAAGTTATTTCCTAGTGCTACAAATAAATTTTTTTATGGACTTAAATTTAAAAAAATAATATTTAGTAAGGAGAAAGAAAGATTAAAAAGGCAATTTTATAAGAACATTGACCCCATAATTTTTTTAAGATGAAAAACTTTTTCACAAAGAGGCGGAACGAGAAACATCAACTACTTTGACAAAAGAAACAATTTGTAAGCAAAATTTGACTTATCAATTGAGAATAAATTACCCAAAACTCAAGGCCACCAAAAAAATTCAAGGTGAATTTAACAAACCCATTAAGGGTTTTATTAATATTAAATAAGTATATTTTAAGGGAAAATTAGTAAAATCTGGTTTAAAATTAGTCACTCAAAATTTGTTGCACACCAAAATAAGACGAGAATTTTTGTTTGGGCATAACTTAAGGAATTTTTATGTTATCGGATTTTTTGTTAACACCCCAATATATGAAGACCCATGTATGATTTAAAATGACTGATAATTCTAAAAATAACATCACAAACCTGGACTTTCGATCCTTGTGTAGTGATAAGGGTTAATGCAAACGTCCTCCTTTTTCAAAGAGTAAGCATACTCGCAATTATCGAGTGCCCTGAGCTCGTGGTGAGACTGTAGTTCCGGCCATCTCCACAATCTGCAGTATATCACGTGGGGCAAGCCTTTGCGTTGCTGCTGTACGCTGCTCAAATCTGCATTCGGTCTAACCCTTAAAATGTTGATGTATAACCATTATAAACAAAAATTCGAAAAAACAAATAAATTTGAAAAAAGTCATAGATTAATTAAAATTCTTATTTCTGATAATACCATAATATTTTTAAGTTTATAAATAATGGAGAATTTTTTTACAATTTTCTGGGATTCCTGGTGGTGCGCGACTTTTAAGACACCCTGTATATTTAGGGCCATCATCGCATTATATTCAGTAATTTTTTTAATAGATTCTATTAAAAAAATTACTGAATATAATGCGACTGAATATAAAAATTGATTAAATTTTAAAGACTAAATAAATTTGTTTACATATAAGATAATTTTTGTCCAACTTAAAAGTCAACTTTATATTTAATATAGGTATACCCACTATAGTGGGTTTTAAGTTTGCAATTTGTATATAATTATTATTGCAATATTCTTCAATATTGCCGCAATCAATCACTAGCAATTTGCAAAACCGTAAAACTGATATTAAAGTCCTTTCTCTTTATTAATGAAAAATCAATAATGTAAGCATATTTCTACTATCCATTTTGGTTTTTGAGAAATTCTAACCCAAGAGTGGAAAAAAACGCGTTTTGTACATCACAAAATATTGTTTTTCTACAAAATGTCTCCCCCTAAGAAAACCTTAGTTATGATTGAATCAAATTTTTACATAAATTTCAACTCAAAATTTCTCTAAGAACATTAAAAAAATGTAAAAAGGATTTTTAAGGGGATTTTGTGGAGAAAAAATACGGTGTGATGTAATGAAATGTCAAATTTTGAAAAGAACTGAGTTTTTCCACTTTTCCGTTGTAATTTCTTGAAAATCTTGTGATGAAGCAATTTTGAGGTCAAATAGGCTGGCTTTTGTTTAAAAATGTTGTGGACCTGTGTAATTTAACGATCACTAAACTAAATGTATACTATAGTATACATATATATAGCATATATGCTCCATACCCAAAAGTCCAACTTTAAAAACAAATAATTGAGGTTATGTATCTGAAAAAATACAATATATTATTTTTGGGTATTAAGGTTTATTTAGAACACAAAAATACATAAATTGTATTATTTTCAGAAAATAAGACGAAATTAGCGTTAAACTGACAGATAGATAACATCAAATATTTGTATTCAAATGTTAGTGTGGACTCCTAAAGTTCTTTTTTTTTTTATTTGGAATTTGACGTCAAAAATTTGGGGGTTTAGTTGGAAAATTCTAGGGACTTTATTTTATAATTGGCTACATTAAATAGAACAAACTAGTTTAGGTGAAAATATAATTTTGGTTATGTTATAATTATAAAAATATGTTTTTCTACTTCTATTATGGAATATGACCGTTCTAATATCACTTTTGTCTATGGAATAACATATATTCCGTAAAGTTCTACAGAATGAAATATTCTATCATCTGATTACAGAATAAACACTCGTGGCGACATCTCTGTTTTCAATATCTAATAAATTTTAGACCGATCCAACCTCACTTTCTTCCAATTAAATTATTTTTCTATGGTATTTTTTGGAAACGTAGAAAAAGTATAGTCTGAAACACGTTTGGAATTGCATATTCCGCTCTCGTGAAACCGTCAAACTCGCCTTCGGCTCGTGTGACAAACTCTTCACTCGAGCGGAATATGCTGTATTCCAAACTTGTTACAGAATATACTATATATATATATTATAAATTTTGAAATGTCAAATAAGTTGTTATAAATGCAATAACTTTGATAAAATATAGTAAGGTGACTTTACAGCCCAAAATAGGAAAATTTGCATTTCCAGCGTACAATTACGTATGTTTATTATGACAGTTCAATGATGAAGTATTTAAAATTAAGGGCTTCAACAGTACCAATTTTAATTATTAAAAATACCAAATTATATTAACATTTAATACCAACATAATCAAATGTGTCAAATTCCAAATAAAAAAACGAAAATGATTAAAGTATTTTTCTATGGTATTTGACAAGAATTTTGAGGTTATAATTTTACGTCAATGCGACAAATTATAAAATTGGCCAATACCTACACTATATATATATACTATACTATCTAAACTTAATTGTAATTCCGAGCAGGAAATTCCAAGAAAAAATAAAATCAATAAACATTTATACATTATTAGGTATATTAAATACCTAATAAAGAATAATTAATCTTGAAACTACTGCGTATTAAAAATTTTATTATTACTTATTAGGCAACATTACACACTATCAAAGTAAATGAAGTTGAAAATTACATTGGCAAATAGATTTATAGGGTAATAAAACAGGAAAGAAACGCATAATAAGGAAGAAAAGTGGTGTGGGTTAGTTGGGCCGGGACATTTTGCAGACATGTAGGGTAGGTCACAAGCCAGACGTGGTGCAGTGAGGGGGGATCAAATCCATAATATGACCTTAAACTTCACATATCAAACGCACAGATGATGATAGCGAATAAAAACATACCTGGGAATAGTTACACACTTGGTGTTATGATTTTGAGAGGAAATGGCACGTTCCAATTCCTCTAGAGCGCCAGATTTCTTCAACTTTTTCACCAAATTTTTCACTGCTTTTTCACACCATTTGTCATCAGCGTCTGAGCCTTTTTTCCAACCCAACAAACGTTTAACAACCGGAGGCGTAAATGACGGTAACATTTCGCTCATCACACGTCGACACTACCACATGAATTTCACTTTTTTTCTATCACTCGTGCGAAATATCACAAAAATAAACGTAAAATTATTGCTTTCCGACTGCCATATTGTTCTTTGACAGACGAATGTTGATTAGTGTTTTACGAATAAATCTACGACAACCCGGTTCCGCAATATCTCATTTCTGCACACATCGCGTGGTCCCCGACTTCCATTGCGTATCGCTTTACTTGATTTTCGCGCATGCGCATGATCTGCGATTTTAAGTGACGGAATTTCTGTATTTCCGATTATCTTCTTCCAAGAACTGCATAGAAAACGTTATAATTAAGTATAATGCACAAAAATACATTTGAAATAACAAAAGTTGGGTATAACATTTCATTGAAACCAAAACAAAAATTACCAATGAAATAAAATATAAATATAAAAATTGTAATTGTAAAAAACAATTTTTAATAACAAATGCACTTTTAAAATGATCCTTTTAACATGTTTTAAACAATTGTTATTCCTTCTAACAACTTTAAAATTAGCTGTATACTGGGTTGCCTATAATCATTTTTTACCCAAGTCTGAACAAGACAAAATTAATGGTATTTTTGTTATAGATAAATAATTGTTATGTAACATAAGAAATTACTGAAGCCTATCAGAACAAAATTACATAAAAATTGTCATTTCTGCTACTACACTTCGTTGATTTCTAGGGTGACCTTTTATTTATATTTAAATAAAATTTTAAACATATAAAAACCGCCCTTGAAATTTTATCTAATAGCAAGAAGTTTTTGCTGAAGGATATCAGCATCAGACACATTCACAAATAATTTAAGATTTTTTTACAGCACAGATTACAAGAAAAAAATTAAATGTTGCATTTGATTTCATACGCCATTTTTTTATTTTGTATCTCGCTCACTAGATTTCCATAAAAAATACCTATACTAAAATAATCAATTTTTAAGCTATCAACATTTTGCTTCTTGAGTTTGGAAACGAATTTTAAAAATAATCTATGGGAAATCTGTCGCAAATAACAGGTGTTATTTTCGATAGATTCTTTCACAAATTCGTTTTTAAACTTGAGCAAGCAAAGGGGATCAGTTGATGGCTTGGAAATTAAAATTGAGCGATTTCATTGTCATGCTCTTTTATTTCTTCATAATTTTCTTCTTTCATTCTAGCATTCTTCCATTTTTTCTCTATTTTAATTTTTCATTCTTTAATTTTTTTTATTATTTCCTTCTTTCATTCTTCCATTCTTTCACTCTTTCATTTGTTTATGTTTTCACCCTTTCACTATTTTACTCGTTTACTCGTTTCACTTCTTCATTCTTCTATAATTCATTAATGAATTCATTCATTATTTTCTTCTTCCATTCTTTTATGTTTTCCCCAGTTCACTATTTTACTCTTTTATTCATCACTCTTCCATTCTTTCACACTTTTATTCTTTCACTATTTCATTCATTCATTCTTCCGTACGTACTTTCACTTCTTCATTCTTTCATTATTTTATAATTCATTAATGAATTCATTCATTATTTTCTTCTTCCATTCTTTCAATCTTTTAAGCTTTCATAATTTCACTCTTTTATTTTCCCATTCTTTCATTTTTTTATTCTTCTATTAGTTCAGACTTTCATTCTTTCCTTCTTCCATTTTTTAACTCTTTCATTCTTTTCACCCATTCACCATTTTACTCTTTCATTCTTCCATTCTTTCACACTTTTATTCTTTCACTATTTCATTCTTTCATTCTTCCTACTTTACCTATTTTATAAGTCATTCATTCATTCTTTTCTTCTTCCATTATTTCAATCTTTTAACCTTTCATTTATTTCACGCTTTTATTTTCTCATTCTTTCATATTTTTATTCTTTTATTATTTTAGTATTTCATTCTTTCCTTCTTCCATTTTTTACTCTTTTATTATTTTCACCCATTCACTATTTTACTCTTTCACTCTTTCATTCTTCCATTTTTTCATACTTTTATTATTTCACTATTTCATTCTTTCATTCTTCCTACATTCACTTTTTCATTCTTTAATTATTTTATTCATTCTTTTCTTCTTCCATTATTTCAATCTTTTAAGCTTTCATTATTTCACTCTTTTATTTTCCCATTCTTTCATATTTTTATTCTTTTATTATTTTAGTATTCTTTTCTTCTTCCATTATTTATTATTATTATTATTCTTTTCTTCTTCCATTATTTCAATCTTTTAAGCTTTCATTATTTCACTCTTTTATTTTCCCATTCTTTCATATTTTTATTCTTTTATTATTTTAGTATTTCATTCTTTCCTTCTTCCATTTTTTACTCTTTTATTATTTTCACCCATTCACTATTTTACTCTTTTACTCTTTCACTCTTTCATTCTTCCATTCTTTCACACTATTATTCTTTCACTATTTCATTCTTTCATTCTTCCTACTTTCACTTTTTTACTATTTTATTATTTTCACCCATTCACTATTTTACTCTTTCACTCTTTCCTTCTTCCATTCTTTCATCCTTTTATTATTTCACTATTTCATTCTTCCTACATTCACTTTTTTATTCTTTAATTATTATATTTATTCTTTTCTTCTTCCATTATTTCAATCTTTTAAGCTTTCATTATTTCACTATTTTATTTTCCCATTCTTTCATATTTTTATTCTTTTATTATTTTCACCCATTCACTATTTTACTCTTTTACTCTTTCATTCTTCCATTCTTTCATACGTTTATTATTTCACTATTTTATTCTTTCATTCTTCCTACATTCACTTTTTCATTCTTTAATTATTTTATTCATTCTTTTCTTCTTCCATTTTTTCAATCTTTTAAGCTTTTATAATATCAATCTTTTATTTTCCCATTCTTTAATTTTTTTATTCTTTTATTATTTCAGTCACCCATTCACTATTTTACTCTTTCACTCTTTCATATGAATATTCTTTCCCACTTTTATTCTTTCACTATTTCATTCTTTTATTATTTCAGTATTTCATTCTTTCTTTCTTTCATTTTTTACTCTTTTATTCTTTCATGTTTTCACCTATTCACTATTTTACTCTTTCACTCTTTTATTATTTCATAATTCATTCTTTAAAGAAGATATTTCTTCTTCCTTTCTTTCAATCTTTAATTATTTCACACTTTAATTTTTTCCATTCTTTTACCTTTTAATTCTTCTATTATTTCTTTAATTTTTTCACCCTTTCTCTATTTTACTCTTTCACTTTTTAATTTTTCGATTCTTTCACTCTTTTATTCCTTAATTTTTTTGTTATTATATATTATATTATTATTTCATTCTTCCTTACTTTAACATTTTCATTCTTTCATTCCTTCCTTCTATCATTCTTTCATTCTTTCACTCTTTTGAGATTTTATTATTTAATTCTTTCAATCTTTTACTCCATTATTCTTCCATTCTTTCACTTTTTCAATCTTTTATTCTTCTATTCTTTCACTTTTTCACTCTTTCATTTTTTTCTTTTTCCATTATTTTACTCTTTAATTATTTCTTTTTTTATTCTTCCATTCTTTCAATCATTCATTTTTTCACCCTTTCAATATTTTACTGTTTTATTCTTTCTTTTTTTTATTCTTACATATGTATATATTTTATTATTTTATTAAATTATATATATTTTATTTTATTTTATTCTTTTTTCTTTCATTCTTATATTTCTTCATTATTTTATTCTTTCTTTATTTCATTATTTCATTCCAAATTATAATTACCTAAATTATTATCAATATTATTATTAAATCCAAAAATAATTCTTTCCAAAATGTACATGAATGCATCCTATAATTTGTTTATTAAAATCACTATTTAGGTACCTACTCTGCATTCTTAAAATATATAATAATTAAATTATTATTAAATATTACTAAATCGAAAATATTGCTTTCCAAATTGTACATACAAGAATAACTGAAACTCACTGAATAAAAATTAACCTTTAAATTATCAGACACAAAAGAAATATAAATAATTAACTGAAAATGATTTCTAAAATGTAAATATAATCCATCTAGCAACACCATCGTATTTTGAAACTGCCGGTTGCTTAAAAAAAGTGGAAGCGTCAAGTCCGGCGAAACAGTTGAAAATAAATTTGCAAAGCACTCCACATAGAAAAGAACCACGGAAGGAACAAAACAGAACAGTGCCGTCGTTTGACATGGTTCCGCTTGCAGATTCAAAATAGAAGTAATTTGTCACGCCAGCGTCGAGTCAAAGTTGCACGCCTCAATTTAAGAATCAGTTTCTAAACATGTGTCCTCGTGTCATGCGAGATTTTTTTTCCGCGAAAAAATGAACTTTGTGCTCAGCCTTTGTGCGCGCCTCGTTTTTGTGGTCACTCTTCTTCGTGGTCAAGATGTTTTGTGGGTTACTGATGCAAGGATTGCCAAGGTACGGTAGATATTGTAAGGTGTTTTGCATTTTCGGTCGTCCGTAACCAACACTTGAATGTGTAGTTTATGTGAGAAAGTATTAAAATATTTTCCTCTTATAGGAGAAATTTGTTCTATATACAGGGTGAGTCATTTAACTTGAAACTTTGAAATATCTCAGTTAGTATGCATTTTACGAAAAACATTTTAAAATAAAAATTAAATGATTTTAGGGGGGAAATCACTCAGTACTAGAATTGGTCATCATACTCTCCCCTTATAGGTGCTCAATGCATCTATAATACGAATTAATAAATGATTTATTAATTCGCATTTCGTTTTAATATTCTGCTAACACTGCTCTGGGATATTCCCAAATCTCTAGCTAATTATCGGGTGCTTGCATGAGGATTATATAGCTATAGCGGCCGTTAATGCTAATACATTAATTTCATTATTTCCACCTGTGACTGTTGCTCGACGAACTTTTTTTCCGGTTGAACACTCCCGTTTGTAGTAAACTGCTTGACTGTACGGTGAAATGAAGTACGTGATCGAATTTTATCCGGAAAACGCTGAGCGTAGATATTAACAGCATCATCAAGATTCCTGCCTGCTTCTCCATAAATCAAAATCATTTCTATTTTTTCTTCCACTGTTAAAGAATCCATTTTGAATAACTGCTTAACAAAAGGAGGTCTTTTTGTTTGCAAATTAATCTTCGAACTAAATTGATTTAATAATGATAAACTATAAATAGTTTCTTTATACCTCAATAATAATTATTATTTATAACGAAATACCATATTTTTTATATCTGAATTAGGATTAAATTAATTAATTGACAAAATAATGTTTTTTACCTTAAATGAGGTATTTTTATTAAAAATAGTACAATAATCCTTTAAATTAAAAGATTTAATGCTGTCAGGTAAAAAGTGACCATGGTGCGTAATTGATAATTATCACCGAATGAAATAATGTATAAAACATAAACCAAAGGAAACTTAAATATTAGTTAAAAATCGTGGGTACTTAAAAAAATCAGATTTAATTTAAAGAAAAAATATTGCAGAATCGTATACAGAAGAAAAATCGAACAAAATTGATTTTTTTTTCATTACAGCGCCATCTATAATATTACAAATATGAAAAAATGTTTTAGAAAAAATCTACCTATTTTTAGTCGAATGATCCGAATCTGCAATAAAAAGTAGGGTGTTCCATTGGAAATTTTAAAGTTACCCCCTGTTCCCCCTATAAGAAGGAGAGTATGAGGACCAATTTTAGTACCGATTGATTCCCCCACTCGAATCATTTAATTTTTATTTTAAACATTTTTTCGTAAAATGCATAACTGAGATAAGTTTCAAGTGACCCTGTGTAAATAATGAAATAATAGAAACATTAACTATAGTTTAAGTAAAAATAAATATATTTTGCAAAAATTGTATATTTCCTATGATTTTAATAACCACCTTCCTATTATTATTATCATCATCATTGTTCACTTAACTATGTTTACCTTTAAATAATTATAACAAAACTACCTCACACTTATAAGCTAGCTAATAATAAGGGACGTTGTCAATTATTGTCAAACTCATCCTTGGCAAACTCAAATTATGCCTAATTTACTTAAGTAAGTTGCGCTCGTGCCAAACTCTTCCTCCTCGCGACGTTATGCTAGTAATTATAGGTCGTCACGCACCTTTCTTTGTTTGGGTTTAAATACCGTAAACTTGAATGCTAAGGACACCCTTCAATTATACTTAACTGTGTTTTCGGTTTTGGGTATCGATATTTACGACAATATGACATACATTGCAATAATTAAGTAAAGCTCAGTTTTTTTTTAGGGCTAAATAATCCAAGTCTTTCTTGCAGAAACGTTGATTTATTTATACCAACTGATTTAGCATATCAGTGGATATAGGTTTTTGCACGACATGGCAACGTAGTAATTTTCTTTAAAAGTTGTTTTATAAAATAAATTGGGTAATTATCTTTCAACGTTTATATTTTCCCTAAAAAAGTCGATTTCTATACATTGACATTTTAAATTAGACATAAAACAATGTGCTTGCTCTTCAAATAAATAGAAACAGTATTTAGAGGGAACTTTTTTTCTGAGGAAATTTACACTCTATTTATTTTTCGGCTCAAAAATATAGGCAGGTACTAATAGTACCGTACTATTGAAAATAAATGAAAATTAAATTGAGGGACAAAAACATAGGTATTTCAAATTGAATATACATATTATAATATTATTATTAACACCCTGCTGAAAAAGTCGGGTAATATCGGATGATTGCGGATAAAAAACCAAGCTAGTTTTATGTCCATTTATATCTGTTTTCATCCGACATATCTGATTTTACCCGGCATGTCGGTTTTTATCTGCAATTGCGGGTATAAATATTATCCGCGAACGTCGGGTTTTATCTATTTAGTTCTATGTCTGCTTTTATCTGGTTTCATCAACAAATACCTGTATTTGGGTTTATATCTGCATTCACCCGGTTTTATCTGATTTTATCCGCAAACATCTACTTTAATCCGCAAATGTCTGCTTTATCAGATTTCACCTGCAAACATCTGCTTTTATACGTGAAGATCTACTTTCATCCGCGAACATCTATTTTAATCCACAAACATCTGATTTCATCCGCAAACATCTACTTTAGTCCGCAAAAGTCTGCTTCATCCGATTTCATCTACAAACATCTGCTTATATCCGCAAAGATCTTTTAACATCTGCTTTAATCCACAAACATCTGTTTTAATCCGCAAACATCTAATTTAGTCCGCAAAAGTCTGATTCATCCGATTTCACCTGCAAACATCTGCTTTTATCCGCGAAGATCTGCTTTTATCTGTGAACGTCTGCTTTAATCCGCAAACTTCTGATTTTATCCGCAAACATCTGCATTTATCCGCGAACGCCTCCTTTAATCCGAAAACATCTGTTTTAATCCGCAAACATCTGATTTTATCCGCAAACATCTGATTTTAATCGCAAACATCTGATTTTATCCGCAAACATCTGCATTTATCCGCAAATATCTGCTTTTATCCGCGAACATCTGCAAACATCTGCTTTTAATTGCAAACCTCTGCTTTCACCCGCGTTCGGTTTGCCTGAATTTCCTTTGTCCATTTCGGTCCTGTTTCGTTCGCAAACGTCTGGTTTCATTCGCGCTTTTTGTTTTTCTTTTTCTCGTGTATACTTTAGTTTAGTTTACCTGCTTTGTCAAATTTTATTGAGCTTTAAGTAACTGGTTGTTAGCCGTTCACGGCACACAACTTTATAACTCTAAAAGAAATTATTTGAATAAAAACAACCTGTAAAGAAAATAAGTTTATTCAACACGACATTTTCCCAATGGGAAAATAATTTAATTATATTCACCAGATTTAAATTTAAAAATCAGGTATACTATAGTGAAATAATAAGTCTATTAATTCTTACATATATAATAAAAATATTGGTTATGCCAAAATTAAAAAGTTTATAAAGTTAAAAATTCTACGCTATAAGTGTTTTTCAAACAAATTCGATACAAATTGAAGATGTTTCTAACAATTAATTTAAATGTAAGCTTAATAATTAAAAAATGTCTATTTATGTATTTTAACAAAGGCCTTATTTGTATTTTACCAAATAATATTGAAGTTCAATAAACTTAAGTTTAATAAAAAATTATTAATTATTTCCTTTACAGGTTGTTTTTATTCAAATAATTTCTTTTAGAGTTATAAAGTTGTGTGCCGTGAACGGCTAACAACCAGTTATTTAAAGCTCAGTAAAATTTTCTAAGCAGGTAAACTAAACTAAATTATACACGAGAAAAAGGAAAACAAAAAGCGCGAATGAAACCAGACGTTTGCGTACGAAACATGACCGAAATGGACAAAGGAAATGCAGGCAAAACGAACGCGGATGAAAGCAGAAGTTTGCAATTAAAAGCAGATGTTTGCAGATGTTCGCGGATAAAAGAAGATATTTGCGGATAAATGCAGATGTTTGCGGATAAATTCAGATGTTTGCGGATAAATGCAGATGTTTGCGGATAAAATCAGATGTTTGCGATTAAAATCAGATGTTTGCGGATAAAATCAGATGTTTGCGGTTAAAATCAGATGTTTGCGGATAAAATCAGATGTTTGCGGATAAAAGCAGATGTTTGCGGATAAAATTAGATGTTTGCGGATAAAAGCAGATGTTTGCGGATAAAATCAGATGTTTGCAGATAAAAGCATGTTTGCGGATGAAACCTTATAAAAGCAGATGTTCGCTAATAAAATGAGATGTTTGCGGATAAATGCAAATGTTTGCGGATAAAAGCAGATGTTTGCGGATAAAAGTAGATGTTCGAGAAAAAAATGAGATGTTTGCGGATAAAAGCAGATGTTCGCGGATGAAAGCAGATGTTCGCGGATGATTGCAGATGTTCGCCGATAAAATGAGATGTTCGCGGGTGATTGCAGATGTTCGCGGATAAAATGAGATGTTTGAGGATAAAAGCAGATGTTTGCGGGGGTGCACTAACCGGATGAAATCAGGCGTTCGCAGATAAAAGCATGTTTGCGGGTGAAACCGTATGAAAGCAGATGTTTGCGGATAAAACCAGACGTTTGCGGATGAAAGCAGATGTTCGCGGGTGATTGCAGATGTTCGCGGATAAAAGCAGTTGTTCGCGGGTGACTGCAGATGTTCGCGGATGAAATCAGATGTTGGCGGATAAAATCAGATGTTTGCGGATGATAGCAGATGTTCGCGGATAAAAGCAGATGTTTGCGGGTGAATGCGGGGGTGCACTAACCGGATCATATCAGGCGTTCGCAGATAAAAGCATGTTTGCGGGTGAAACCGTATGAAAGCAGACGTTCGCGGGTAAAAGCAGATGTTCGCGGGTGATTGCAGATGTTCGCGGATAAAAGCAGTTGTTCGCGGGTGATTGCAGATGTTCGCGGATGAAAGCAGATGGTCGCGGATAAAAGCAGATGTTGGCG